AAATAATTATAATTATTTCTAGATTTTGTAATTTTAAAAACAAAAATTGAAAATAATTTTTAATAGCCCGATTTGGTAGATATTTATAGGTAATTAAGTTCGAAATAAGTGGGAAAGGTTATTGAAGTTAATTCTCTTAATTTGATCAGATGCTGTAACATTCAAGGTCATATTTCAAGAATTTCCAAGATATGGGCTCTTAAAATTTTCCAATTTAAATAAAATTTATTTTCGAATTCTTAAGGTAGGAATTTCAATTTAGAATAAACTTTTTATTTTACACTGCTATTTGCTGGTATCTGATACGCTCATCATTAACGTTACAAAGGATCCTGCTGTCTTGTAGACCTAAGGAAGAAGATTTTTTCATAATTTCTATGAGGTCCTTATATCCAAAGTGAACCCCCTCTTACCCACAAAAATAAGCTCAAATCAGCTGTAAAGAAAAACCCAGTCAGTTCGGAATGCTTCTGAGCCCTGGCAAAGGGTAAGAGAAGTAATTTTCTAGATTTGGGGCACAAGACCTCCCACTGGAAATGCTCATAGATGACCACTGCAATGGAAATACTCTGAAAAAAGATTAATATTGGATAACCACAATTCGGGAGGATAAATGTCTTCTTACCTCATCCTTGATCCGCTGGCCGCCATAACAATACAACATCATTTGAATGGATATGGACGTTAGGAAAAACATATGAAAAATCTGCCCCGCGAAATCTCCACCACGAACAAATTGAAAAGCGAGGAAGGCAATTTGAATACAGCTAATGAGAAATTTTACGAAAACGATCATCATGAAGACCTCATTGAAGTCATCGATGGTGTCCAGAATTCGTTGATGATAACGAACATATTCGGCCAAGGATTTTTTTAAGTTTGCATAGCTTTGCTTGCCTTCTGTTTCGGAAAATGCCACACATATCAAACGTTCTCGAAGTATTGCGAAATGTGCCGAAATATTGTGGAAAATCCATGAGAACAAACTATCCGCGGCCAGGGTTGTATTGAGCACAGCATAGATGGCAATGCAAGTCCAAATATGGACAGTAAAATATCCCAAATAACTTCCTTTTGGGTCCACATAATAGCTGAGGAAGAATAGGAAAAACACACTGTGTGAGGCTGCATTTAAGTTCCGCCAGGCTAAATTAAAGTTTTCCTATGGGAAAACCTTATTCAGCCGGGCTGTATCGAAGTTTTCCTATGGAAAACCTTATTCAGCCGGGCTGAATTGAAGTTTTCCTATGGAAAACCTTATTCAGCCGGGCTGAATTGAAGTTTTCCTATGGAAAACCTTATTCAGCCAGGCTGAATTGAAGTTTTCCTAAGGAAAAACCCCATTCAGCCAGGCTGAATTGAAATTTTCCCATAGGAAAACCAAATTCAGCCAGGCTGAATTGAATTTTTCCTATGGGAAAACCTTATTCAGCCAGGCTGAAATTAAGGTTTCCTATGTGAAAACCTTATTCAGCCAGGCTGAAATTAAGGTTTCCTATGCGAAAACCTTATTCAGCCAGGCTGAATTAAAGTTTTCCTATGGGAAAACCTTATTCAGCCAGGCCGAATTAAAGTTTTCCTATGGGAAAACCTTATTCAGCCAGGCTGAATTAAAGTTTTCCTATGGGAAAACCTTTTTCCTATGGGAAAACCTTATTCAGCCAGGCTGAATTAAAGTTTTCCTATGGGAAACCTTATTCAGCCAGGCTGAATTGAAGTTTTCCTATGGGAAAACCTTATTCAGCCAGGCTGAATTAAAGTTTTCCTATGGGAAAACCTTATTTAGCCAGGCTGAATTGAAAATGGAAAACCTTATTTCCTATGGGAAAACCTTATTCAGCCAGGCTGAATTAAAGTTTTCCTATTGAAACTCCTGATACCTCTTTTCACTTTTCTTACCTTCCTTTCAGAGGCGTTTCCAAAGCATCCCAGAAGTCACCCCCTTTCCAACTCCCCCAATACAATGCCTTTAAAAACGGGGCAGTCAAGGCCAAAATGCCCGTTGTAAGGACCGTCATGTAGAAGCTAAAAGACTTCACAGTGTCTTTCGATTCTCATCCGCAATTATTTCTAACTCTTCCTGTTTAGCTGTAAAAAATTGAGGCAAATTTCAAATTCTCACCTTAAAATTAAAAGCTCTCGAAATGATCTTACCCTCCAAATTCCATAGCCACAAATTCCACACCAATTTTTTAATATCTTTCTTATGCCACATAAATAAGGCCATTTTCAAGATGGCCATTAGCACTTGCCAAACAGGTGCCATGGCATCGGTTACCAGACTCATATCCTCCAAGTTCTCCAGGGCATATCTGGCCAGTGGTACACATATGGCCAACTCCAAGATATTTGGTAACCAAAATAGCAATCCACTCACCATGGTCCGCTTCATCGACAGCAGATCAACACCAATGGCTCTGAAACAGAAGTTCTGTACAACAAAATAATATTTTACACCCTCCAACGGGGGTAAAACGTCCGCTGAAGGAGTTGCCATTGTTCTGTGGTGGCCTATTAAAACTAGAATGAAACCTTAGCATAAAAAGTTTCTCAGTTATGTTGACTTGCTATCCTTCTGCAATGTGTTGTGTCATAATTTATTCACAGCGTTTATTTGCTGTTAACCCCTTTACAATTTTGTAACATAAACACTTATTTCCGATAATTGCTATTTTGGGCGTCCTTTTCTATTTTGAAATTTCATCACGTGTGCCCAAAAAAAATGTGGGCGTTTTAAACTGTCGGGAATTTTTTTTTATGTATTCACGTTTGTAATTGAATTTATTCCTTTTTTGAATAAGAGGTAGTGATAGATATATGTTGTAAAAGAGGGGTTTCGAAGAAAATTGGAGAGGGATTTTTACCATTTATATCTACTGAAACAAAAATGTTTTTTTTTTTTTGATTTCCAGATTTCCAATATTAGATTCTTATGGTGAAGGGTTATAGAAAATGCAACTAGCACATGATAAAAAATCTAGGAGTTGCTGCTCTGACCTCAAACCATCACCTCTACTGTAATTGTGACCCTGGTTCAAGAAAATTAAAACTAACCTCCCCCACAAAATGTCGAAATGTCCAAAGCATATAACACTATGCAACATGAATATTATTAACGATGTTCTCACACAGCAGCATTGTAGAAGAGCACAAAAGAGAGAACACGTGTCCCCAATTGTTCTCTATCTTATCAACTTTTACTAATATGGGGTCTTAAAATTGGGGCCTTCGTGTCCACAGGAAATATTTCTTATCTTAAAGGTCTTTGGAATATTTTTGTAATTGGGCATTTGAAAGAATTCGAAGTTTTTTACCCTACACCACATAGTGGTAAGGATTTTATGTCTTTGTGCAGTTGTTTGTAACATGGAGAAGGAAGCGAGGTAGACCCATAGTTACTATTGAGGATTTTCATAGAATCACTTTCTGAATCGATTTATGCATGTCTGTCCGTCCGTCAGTCCATGTTTTTTATGCCCTTCATCATAGTATGGAGGGTATATTAAGTTTGTCATTCCGTTTGTAACACCTCGAAATATATATTTTATACCCCACAAAGTATATATATGCTTGATCAGCTTAAAATTCTATGTCGATTTATCAATGTCCGTACGTCTGTCCATCTATCAGTCTGTTCGTCTGTGGAATTCACTCTAGCTTCCGAACGAAATGAAGTAAGTTGATAAAACTTTACTCAAATGTGTATTATGTCAGCAGGACTTTTGGTATTGAAATAGCCCCAATATAACTGCGACATTATTTACCGGAATTATTTCAAATTTTGTATTTGAAGTTCGTAATGGATACTACAGCCTATGCCAGAAAATTGTCTGTGCAGGTATATATACCTCCCATATATATCTTCAAACCATTTCGGGATAATTGTGCACCAAATGACCAATATCAATTCAAATGACCTGCATTTTGGCACATCCGACCGAATTTAGGGTAGAAACAAGTATATAAAATTTGGAGAAAATCGAAATCATCCTCCTATATCAGGTTTATTGTGCACCAAATGGGTACAATCAGCCCAAATGAACTGAATTTTGGCAATTCCGACGGAATTCATACTAGAAACCAGTATATTAAATTTGGTGTAAATCGGTTCTATAGCTCCCATATATATGTTTTATCCGATTTGGTGTTAAAGTCCCTCACATGCGTAATATGCGCTCCACAACAATGATCTCCTGTACCAGATATCAGATACGGCTCTACAATGAATGTTACAAATTTTGTCAAAATCGTTTCAGATTTTGATATAGCTCCCACATAAATCTTCAACCAAGTTTGTTTCTATTGTGCACCAAATGGCCAATATCTGTCCAAATGACGTGAAATTTTGGATGGAATTCAACCTAAAAGCAAGTGCTTCAAATTTTGGTGAAAATTGGTCCTGATATAGCTATAGCTCTCATATATATGTTTCATCCGATTTGGTGTTAAAGTACCTCACATGTGTTATATGCCCTCCACAACAATGATATTTGATACCGGACATCAGACACAGTTCGAGAATAACTCTGTCAAGTTTTTTGGTACTAGAGGTCCAAAACCCTCCGTCAAATTTTTTGAAAATCGATTCAGAGTTGGATGTAGTTTCCAAATTGTGACTACTCTAAAGCCATGATACGCATTTAAATAAGGTTCATAGTTGGTATGATCTACTCCACATAAATTGCCTATATAAACTTTTTTTGGTTATGGGAGCTCTACTTATTACGCATAGTGGTGTAGAGTATCGTATACCCGACTTTTAAAGTTTCCTCACTGGTTTATAGATAAAATCAAAGCCCCGCAGCTGGAAAATGAGTTTTGTTTTAAAACGCAACGAACATTACAAGCAAATTACTTTTTTATTCATTACTCGGTATAGAGTAATAACATAGTAACTTATAACTTAGTAATTACGTTTTTTGCTGATGTCCTACTGTAACGAGTCTATTGACGAATTGTTTTTTAATAAGCGAAGAATTTCCGATTCCCAAAATACATGTTTTCAGAGTGGCATATTCCTTCTCGATTCCATTTATTATCTTAATTTAAAATAAATTGGTATTTTTTTATAAATACCACTGAATTGAAAATTCAATGGATGCAAAATATTACTTGCTGGTATCGGATACGCTCATCATTAAGGTTACAAAAGAACCTGCCGTCTTGTAGACCTGTGGAAAAGTTAATTCAAATAAGAAGAAAAATCTTACATAAAAACATTCAAAACCGGTGTCATCGTACCCATAAAAATAAACTCAAATCGGCTATGAAGAAAACTCCGGTCAGTTTGCAAGGTTTCTGGGACCGGGCCAAGGGTAAGAGCAACAACTTTCTTGACTTGGGGCACAATACATCCCAATGGAAATGTTCATAAATGGCCACGGAAATGGAAGCACTCTGGAAAAGAAAGTTAAAAATTATATTCGTGCCTATATTTCTGAAAAATATATGTGGGATATTCTACCTCATCCTTAATCCTCTGACCGCCATAACAATACAACATCATTTGAATGGATATGGACATTAGGAACAGCGTATGAAAAACCTGTCCAGCAAAGTCTCCACCACGAACAAATTGAAAAGCCAAGAAGGCAATTTGAATACAGCTGATGAGAAATTTCACGAAAACGATCGTCATGAAGACCTCATTGAAGTCATCGATGGTGTCCAAAATTCGTTGATGATAACGAACACATTCGGCCAAGGATTGTTTTAGGTTTGCATAACTTTGCTTCCCTTCTGTTTCGGAAGATGCCACAGATATCAAACGTTCTCGAAGTATTGCGAAATGTGCCGAAATATTATGGAAAATCCATGAGAACAAACTATCTGCGGCCAGGGTTGTATTGAGCACAGCATAGATGGCAATGCAAGTCCAAACATGGACAGTAAAATATCCCAAATAACTTCCTTTTGGGTCCACATAATAGCTGTGGAAAAACATACTCAGTGAGGGCGAATGATTAAAGTTTTCCTAAGGGAAAAACCATATTCAGCCAGGCTGAATTAAAGTTTTCCTAAGGGAAAAACCATATTCAGCCAGGCTGAATTAAAGTTTTCCTAAGGGAAAAACCATATTCAGCCAGGCTGAATTACAGTTTTCCTAAGGGGAAAACCTTATTCAGCCAGGCTGAATTAAAGTTTTCCTAAGAGGAAAACCTTATTCAGCCCGGCTGAATTAAAGTTTTCCTAAGGGGAAAACCTTATTCAGCCGGGCTGAATTAAAGTTTTCGTATGGGAAAACACCATTCAGCCAGCGGGACTGAATTAAAGTTTTCCTATGGGAAAACCTTATTCAGCCAGGCTGAATTAAAGTTTTCCTAGGGGAAAACCTTATTCAGCGAGACTGAACTAAAGTTTTCCTATAGAAGTCTTATGGAAACTCCCGATTCCTATTTTCACTTTTCTTACCTTCCTTTCAGAGGCGTTTCCAAAGCATCCCAGAAGCTACCCACTTTTAATCTCCAATACAATGCCCTTAAAAACGGGGCAGTCAAGGCCAAAATACCCGTTGTAAGGACCGTCATGTAGAAGCTAAAAGACGTCACAGTGTCTTTGCGGTTCTCTTCCGCAATTGTTTTCAATTCTTCCTCTTTAGCTTGAGAAAAATTAAGGGAAGTTTAAAATTTTCATATAAAAATTTAAAAATCTCCAAGGTATCATACCTTCCAAATTCCATAGCCACAAATTCCTGACCAATTTTTTAATATCTTCCTTATGCCACATAAATAAGGCCATTTTCAAGATGGCCATTAGCACTTGCCAAACAGGTGCCATGGCATCGGTTACCAGACTCATATCCTCCAAGTTCTCCAGGGCATATCTGGCCAGTGGTACACATATGGCCAACTCCAAGATATTTGGTAACCAAAATAGCAATCCACTCACCATGGTCCGCTTCATCGACAGCAGATCAACACCAATGGCTCTGAAACAGAAGTTCTGTACAACAAAATAATATTTTACACCCTCCAACGGGGGTAAAACGTCCGCTGAAGGAGTTGCCATTGTTCTGTGGTGGCCTATTAAAACTAGAATGAAACCTTAGCATAAAAAGTTTCTCAGTTATGTTGACTTGCTATCCTTCTGCAATGTGTTGTGTCATAATTTATTCACAGCGTTTATTTGCTGTTAACCCCTTTACAATTTTGTAACATAAACACTTATTTCCGATAATTGCTATTTTGGGCGTCCTTTTCTATTTTGAAATTTCATCACGTGTGCCCAAAAAAAATGTGGGCGTTTTAAACTGTCGGGAATTTTTTTTTATGTATTCACGTTTGTAATTGAATTTATTCCTTTTTTGAATAAGAGGTAGTGATAGATATATGTTGTAAAAGAGGGGTTTCGAAGAAAATTGGAGAGGGATTTTTACCATTTATATCTACTGAAACAAAAATGTTTTTTTTTTTTTGATTTCCAGATTTCCAATATTAGATTCTTATGGTGAAGGGTTATAGAAAATGCAACTAGCACATGATAAAAAATCTAGGAGTTGCTGCTCTGACCTCAAACCATCACCTCTACTGTAATTGTGACCCTGGTTCAAGAAAATTAAAACTAACCTCCCCCACAAAATGTCGAAATGTCCAAAGCATATAACACTATGCAACATGAATATTATTAACGATGTTCTCACACAGCAGCATTGTAGAAGAGCACAAAAGAGAGAACACGTGTCCCCAATTGTTCTCTATCTTATCAACTTTTACTAATATGGGGTCTTAAAATTGGGGCCTTCGTGTCCACAGGAAATATTTCTTATCTTAAAGGTCTTTGGAATATTTTTGTAATTGGGCATTTGAAAGAATTCGAAGTTTTTTACCCTACACCACATAGTGGTAAGGATTTTATGTCTTTGTGCAGTTGTTTGTAACATGGAGAAGGAAGCGAGGTAGACCCATAGTTACTATTGAGGATTTTCATAGAATCACTTTCTGAATCGATTTATGCATGTCTGTCCGTCCGTCAGTCCATGTTTTTTATGCCCTTCATCATAGTATGGAGGGTATATTAAGTTTGTCATTCCGTTTGTAACACCTCGAAATATATATTTTATACCCCACAAAGTATATATATGCTTGATCAGCTTAAAATTCTATGTCGATTTATCAATGTCCGTACGTCTGTCCATCTATCAGTCTGTTCGTCTGTGGAATTCACTCTAGCTTCCGAACGAAATGAAGTAAGTTGATAAAACTTTACTCAAATGTGTATTATGTCAGCAGGACTTTTGGTATTGAAATAGCCCCAATATAACTGCGACATTATTTACCGGAATTATTTCAAATTTTGTATTTGAAGTTCGTAATGGATACTACAGCCTATGCCAGAAAATTGTCTGTGCAGGTCCCTATATTCGGTATTTTATTTATTTTAGCTATATTATAAGCAGATTTTTTTTCAAGTTAAGCATTTGAATATTATAATAGCTTAAGACAAAAGCTGTCTATGCAGGTTCACGTCGTCGTAAACCCTAATATACGGCTACATTCTTTATTTTTAAGATTTTAACAGAATTTTTAATGGATGTTATTGTTTTTGAAAATTGCCTAATTTGTACCAAATGGTGGAGGGCATTCAAAGTTCGGCCCTGCCAAACTTACAACTTTTTTACTTTTTTTTTAACAAAATTCAGGTCGCATTTATTATCCAATTAGGATGAAATTTTGCAAACAATATTTTTGGCCCAAGGACGAAGCCTATTGGAATAGGTGAGAGTTCAAAATTAGATATACCTCCCATATATATCTTCAAACGATTTCGGGATAATTGTGCACCAAATGACCAATATCAATTCAAATGACCTGCATTTTGGCACATCCGACCGAATTTAGGGTAGAAACAAGTATATAAAATTTGGATAAAATCGAAATCATCCTCCTATATCAGGTTTATTGTGCACCAAATGGGTACAATCAGCCCAAATGAACTGAATTTTGGCAATTCCGACGGAATTCATACTAGAAACCAGTATATTAAATTTGGTGTAAATCGGTTCTATAGCTCCCATATATATGTTTTATCCGATTTGGTGTTAAAGTCCCTCACATGCGTAATATGCGCTCCACAACAATGATCTCTGGTACCAGATATCAGATACGGCTCTACAATGAATGTTACAAATTTTGTCAAAATCGTTTCAGATTTGGATATAGCTCCCACATAAATCTTCAACCGAGTTCGGGTCTATTGTGCACCAAATGACCAATATCTGTCCAAATGACGTGAAATTTTGGATGGAATTCAACCTAAGAGCAAGTGCTTCAAATTTTGGTGAAAATTGGTCCTGATATAGCTATAGCTCTCATATATATGTTTCATCCGATCTGGTGTTAAAGTACCTCACATGTGTTATATGCCCTCCACAACAATGATATTTGATGCCGGACATAAGATACAGTTCGAGAATAACTCTGTCAAGTTTTTTGGTACTAGAGGTCCAAAACCCTCCGTCAAATTTTTTGAAAATCGATTCAGAGTTGGATGTAGTTTCCAAATTGTGACTACTCTAAAGCCATGATACGCATTTAAATAAGGTTCATAGTTGGTATGATCTACTCCACATAAATTGCCTATATAAACTTTTTTTGGTTATGGGAGCTCTACTTATTACGCATAGTGGTGTAGAGTATCGTATACCCGACTTTTAAAGTTTCCTCACTGGTTTATAGATAAAATCAAAGCCCCGCAGCTGGAAAATGAGTTTTGTTTTAAAACGCAACGAACATTACAAGCAAATTACTTTTTTATTCATTACTCGGTATAGAGTAATAACATAGTAACTTATAACTTAGTAATTACGTTTTTTGCTGATGTCCTACTGTAACGAGTCTATTGACGAATTGTTTTTTAATAAGCGAAGAATTTCCGATTCCCAAAATACATGTTTTCAGAGTGGCATATTCCTTCTCGATTCCATTTATTATCTTAATTTAAAATAAATTGGTATTTTTTTATAAATACCACTGAATTGAAAATTCAATGGATGCAAAATATTACTTGCTGGTATCGGATACGCTCATCATTAAGGTTACAAAAGAACCTGCCGTCTTGTAGACCTGTGGAAAAGTTAATTCAAATAAGAAGAAAAATCGTATATAAAAACATTCAAAACCGGTGTCATCGTACCCATAAAAATAAACTCAAATCGGCTATGAAGAAAACTCCGGTCAGTTTGCAAGGTTTCTGGGACCGGGCCAAGGGTAAGAGCAACAACTTTCTTGACTTGGGGCACAATACATCCCAATGGAAATGTTCATAAATGGCCACGGAAATGGAAGCACTCTGGAAAAGAAAGTTAAAAATTATATTCGTGCCTATATTTCTGAAAAATATATGTGGGATATCCTACCTCGTCCTTAATCCTCTGACCGCCATAACAATACAACATCATTTGAATGGATATGGACATTAGGAACAACATATGAAAAACCTGTCCAGCAAAGTCTCCGCCACGAACAAATTGAAAAGCGAGAAAGGCAATTTGAATACAGCTAATGAGAAACTTAACGAAAACGATCATCATGAAGACCTCATTGAATTCATCGATGGTATCGATAATTCGTTGATGATAACGAACACAGTCGCCAATTGATTTTCGAAATTTTCCATAGCCATGCGAACCTTCTCTATTGGTAGCTGCTATCGACTTCAAACGTTCGCGAAGTATCCAAAAGTGAGCCGATATATTGTGTACTATCCACGAGAATAAACTATCCGCAGCCAGGGTAGTATTGAGCACCGCGTAGATGGCAATGAAAGCCCACATATAGGCAATGAAATAGCCCATGTAGGTTTCCTTCGGATCAATAAAGTAACTGCGAAAAATATGGTGGAAAATAAAATAAGTAAATGAATACCCTCCACCAGTTGGAACTAATTTGGAAATTTTCAAAAAATAAAATCCGTTATTGTGGTCTATACGAAGACGTGGACCTACATGGACAATTTTCTGTCACAGGCTGTAGTACCTTTTTGGAACTTCAAATACGAAATTTAGAATAATTTCGGTGAATATAGTACCTAAAATCGTCAAAATACCGAATAAAGGGAGATACTGATATATGGGGCCTATACGAAGACCTGGACCAGCATAGACAATTTTCTGTCACAGACTGTAGTTCCCATTACGAACTCTAAACACGAAATTTGAAACAATTCCGGTGAATAATGTCGCTAAAATCGTCAAAATAACGAATATTGGGAGGTAAAGATATAAGGGGACTGTACGAAGACCTGGACCTGCATAGACAATTTTCTGTCATAGATTGTAGTTCCCATTACGAACTCTTAATACGAAATTTGAAACAATTCCGGTGAATTTTGTCTCCAAAATCGTCCAAATACCGTATTTAGGTAGGTACCGCTATATGGGGGCTATTTGAAGTCCTGAACCTGCATAGACAATTTTCTGTCACAGGCTGTAGTACCTATTAGGAACTTGAAATATGAAATGTTAAACAATTCTGGTGATTATTGTAGCTAAAATAGGTCGAAATACCGAATATAAGGAGGTACCGATGTAAGGGGCCTATATGAAGACCTAGCCCTGCACAGACAATTTTCTGTCATAGGCTGTAGTATCTATTACGAATCTCAAATACCAAATTTGAAACAATTCCGGTGAATAATATCGCTTAAATCATCAAAATACCGAATATCGGGAGGTACCATTATATGAGGGATATTCGATATCGTGGACCTATATAGTGTGACGACGTGTTTTCACTTTGAAGCTGGGGTAGGTTCAGCGGGGGCCAGAGTCGTCACAAAAATTTATTTGTTAGGACATAAAGAGAGAGAGAGCGAAGCAAAAATATTTTCTTAAAACGTTATAAATTTATTTCCTTAAATAACACTAAACACTACACTAAACACAATAAAATCACGTTCAGAACTTTTTACGAAGAACACTAAATCACAAAGTTCAGTCGAAATGTTAATAAACGGGTAGCAGTGGTGGCAGCTTGGCACAGCGGCGGCCCGATGAATAGGCGAGCGACGAATAGAGTGGCGGCAGCTTGGCACAGCGGCGGCCCGATGAATAGGCGAGCGACGAATAGGGTGGCGGCGGCTTTGGCACAGCGGCGGCCCGATGAATACGTCAGCGGCGAGTAGTAGTGGCGGCAGCTTGGCACAGCGGCGGCCCGATGAATAGGCGAGCGGCGAATAGGGTGGCGGCGACTTTGGCACAGCGGCGGCCCGATGAATACGTCAGCGGCGAGTAGTAGTGGCGGCAGCTTGGCACAGCGGCGGCCCGATGAATAGGCGAGCGACGAATAGGGTGGCGGCGGCTTTGGCACAGCGGCGGCCCGATGAATAGGCGAGCGGCGAATAGGGTGGCGGCGGCTTTGGCACAGCGGCGGCCCGATGAATACGTCAGCGGCGAGTAGTAGTGGCGGCAGCTTGGCACAGCGGCGGCCCGATGAATACGCGCACGACGAATCGGGTGGCGGCAGCTTTGGCACAGCAGCAGCCCGATGAGTACGTCAGTCGCCGTCAACGCAGCCCGAAGAATAGGGAGTATTGCTACAACCCTCACTTGACCCTGCGTTCAGTCGCCGTCAACGCAGCCCGAAGAATAGGGAGTATTGCTACAACCCTCACTTGACCCTGCGTTCAGTCGCCGTCAACGCAGCCCGAAGAATAGGGAGTATTGCTACAACCCTCACTTGACCCTGCGTTCAGTCGCCGTCAACGCAGCCCGAAGAATAGGGAGTATTGCTACAACCCTCACTTGACCCTGCGTTCAGTCGCCGTCAACGCAGCCCGAAGAATAGGGAGTATTGCTACAACCCTCACTTGACCCTGCGTTCAGTCGCCGTCAACGCAGCCCGAAGAATAGGGAGTATTGCTACAACCCTCACTTGACCCTGCGTTCAGTCGCCGTCAACGCAGCCCGAAGAATAGGGAGTATTGCTACAACCCTCACTTGACCCTGCGTTCAGTCGCCGTCAACGCAGCCCGAAGAATAGGGAGTATTGCTACAACCCTCACTTGACCCTGCGTTCAGTCGCCGTCAACGCAGCCCGAAGAATAGGGAGTATTGCTACAACCCTCACTTGACCCTGCGTTCAGTCCAGTCCAGTCACCACAAATAGTCAAGGCTTATTGTTTGGCTTACTAAGACTCAATTCAACCGAGGTTGCGCGCCTTTTCTTCCTCCCAATCACACTTGACTTACCAGCCATCAACAGAAGACTGATCCCGATTGGGTGAAATGCGTCTCCTTTTATACCTTTTTGGCTGGACAACGATTGTTGTTTTCTCATGACAGCAGCTGATCCCAATCTGACAGTTTTGCGTAGTTCCGCCATTTGCCACCAGGGGTTCCAATGTTGTATTTTAAGTATACTTCTTTCTACTAGGGAACAATAATAATGTACCCCAAAAACGAAAGCATGACTTTTGGGCGTTACATGGCATCTCTTCCTCCCTCTGATTTTTGATTCCTTGATTTGCTTTCTCTATTGCTATTGGGTTTCAATAGCCAGGAAGCCCTAGGGTGTTATGTAACCTTTTATTTCTCCGACATGGGCACTTTGGTTCGACTATATCTCGGTCGAATAGGAAGGTATGTTAGAGACCAATTGCAGAAGTTCGGAGAGATACCTTCACTACCCCGTCTGCTGATATTATTATGCGGTACTGCTTGCCATCTTGTTTAACAATTCGCTTCAGTTTGTGTCCCTTTTTCCAATTGTTTTTAAACTTCTCGATACGGCTTTGTAGGTTTTCGGGATAATTTGGCAGTTCGAGAAATGTGTTATTGTTCACGGGATTGTCTGTCGAGGACGATGGCGTTGACTCAGTTGGGATTTCAGTGACTGGCAATTTGATTGTACTTGGTGTGCTATTATTCTCCTTCGCCCGTTTGAATTTTTTTCGTGTTGGGGCTATCTTGCTCCATCGTGATGTTGAAATTTTGAGAATTGCGATGGTCTTTGAAGTATGGGCTTATATTAGGACACTGATTAGTTTGGGTATTGTCAATTTAATGTCTAAAAATAAAGTAAGAAATTATAATGAAATGGCATCACATAAACGTAAGTGGAACTACAATCAACATTCTACTTCTATGTCTACAATTTAATTTTGTTCTTCATAAAAAGGCTTAATTTCACTTAAGTGCGCGACGCGGGTGATGTTGTCTTTTCCTCGGACTACAACGATTACTGGAGATTGGAATTTTTGTACGACAAACGGCCCTCCGTATTTGGGCGCTAGTTTGGCGGCGAAATTTTCGACGGCCTTCGACTGAGGATGTAGACGAACTAGAACTTGCTCCCCAATCTTTGGTTTCCAAACTCGTCGTCTAAGGTTGTACTGTCTCCGCTGGTTTTGAGATGCTTTTGCCAAGTTTCGACGCACTATCTTAAATATTTCTTTCAACTCCTGGGCCCGGTCTTCTGGTAAGACTATTCTAGCACCAGTTCCTGTTGTGAGCTGATCATATAATGCCTGGGGCAGTCGCGGTTCTCTTCCTTGTGTCAGGTATGCCGGCGAATATCCAGTGGATTCTGATGCACTAGTGTTTATGGCTAACATTATTTCGGGCAGCATATCGTCCCATGTATTATGTTGTTTCGAAACCTGTGCTATCATTGTTTTCACTGTCCGATTTGTCCTTTCAGTAGGGTTCTCTTGCGGGGTGTAAGGAGCCGTAAGTTGATGCTTTATACCCATTTCTGCTAGGAATTTTTCGAATTGGTTGCTAGTGAATTGGGTTCCGTTATCGGTTATCAATATTTTTGGAACCCCATATCTAGAAATAATTCTTTCTCTGCATGCCTTTATTAATCCCTCTGTCGTAGCCTTCCGCAATGGAACCAACTCCGTCCATTTTGAGAATCTATCCATAATAACGAGTAGCATTGAGTTACCGTGCTTAGATCGCGGTAGGGGTCCTACGAAGTCCGCACAAATAGTGGCCCATGGTTCCTCCGGGATTCTTATCAACATTTCCCCTGCTGGTTTCTGTTGGCTGACTTTATATTTTTGGCAACATTCGCACTGCTGGACATAACGTTTGATGTCCTGGAACATACCCGGCCAAAAATATCGGTTCGCCACCTTGTTGCTAGTCTTTCGCACTCCCAAATGACCTCCGGTGACACTGTCATGATTTTCTCTAAGGACCTGAATCCTTGATCCGGTGGGCACACACAGCTTCCATGGTGTGCAATCTTCATCGTTTATTTGCTTGGGAAGATGTCGATAAACATTTCCCTCAATGATTGTATAGTCTGGATACTTCTTCGGATTCTTGGTTATGGTTTCCTTCAACTTTTCTAGCCATGGGCACGGACTGGTGTCATAGTTTACTGTGGCTAGGTCTAACGTTTCCCCAGGTGTTCTCGAAAGCGCATCCGCCACAACGTTCTGTTTTCCTCTGCGGTATCTGATCAAAAAATTATATTGCTGTAGCTCGAGAGCCCAACGTGCGAGTCGACCTGTAGGGCTTTCAATAGAATTTAACCATTTTAGGGCCAAATGATCGGTAATAACTATAAACTGGTAACCCTCTAAATAGGGTCTCATGTGTCTGATGCCCCACAGTATGGCTAGACATTCCTTTTCAGTCGCTGAGTAGTTCTTTTCAGCCTGTTTTAAATGTCTGCTGGCGTAGGCTATGACACGTTCCACGTTATCTAACTCCTGTGTTAGAACTGCTCCAAGGCCATAGTTGCTGGCATCAGTTTGCAATATGAACGTCTTTGTGAAATCCGGACAAGCCAGAACGGGGGCTTCAGTTAACTTTGCTTTTAGGTCTGAGAATGCTTCTTGTTGTTCGGGACCCCATTTCCAATGTTTTCCCTTTTTAAGAAGACTAGTCAATGGTTGTGAAATTGTTGCAAACTGTGGGACAAATCTTCGGTACCAAGATGCTACTCCAAGAAATCTTCGTACCTCCTTTACCGATGTTGGAGGTTTCATTTCCACTATTGCGGCAACTTTATCTGGATCCGTCTTTATTCCCTCGCTACTCACAACATGGCCTAAATACTTCGTTTCTTTTCTGAAAAATTCGCATTTCTCAATGTTTATTCTCAGGTTAGCTGATCGCAATCTTCTGAACACTTCTCTCAAGTTCCGCAAGTGTTCCTCAAACGTTTTTCCAATGACGATGATATCGTCAAGGTATGCAAAAGCGTGGGGGTCCATTTCAGGCCCAATCACACTATCTAATGCCCGTTGGAAGGTTGCCGGTGCTGAATGCAAACCGAAAGGCATCACTTTCCACTGATATAGACCTTTACCAGCTACCGCAAAGGCCGTGTATTTTCTGCTCTCCTTCGCCATCGGTATTTGCCAATATCCGTCTTTAAGGTCCAGGCTACTCACGTATTTGGCATCCCGTAGTCGATTCAGTATTGTGTCGATGCGGGGTAAAGGGTAGGCATCTGGAACAGAACGTTTATTCAATTGGCGAAAATCCATACAAGTTCTCCAATTCCCATTTTTCTTTCTGACTAATGTGATGGGGAAACAGTATGGGCTTGTAGACGGCTCTATACATCCTCGTTCTTCGAGCTTTCTCACTTCGGCATTAATCACGGCTTGCATTGCAGGATTTCGCGGAGCATATCTTAATTTAATGGGTCGATCGTCGGTCATTACAATCTTATGTTCAGCTATTGACGATAGGCCATTTAATTGTTGGAACTTAGGGAGTTCCTGTGCCAGAAAATTTTCAACGATCTCACATTGCGTTTTACTCAATTCATCGTTTAAGAATTTAGGTCTGGGGGATACATTATTCGTAGCTGTCATTGTATCTATTACCTCTTTTGATGGGGTTTCCTCTCCTATAGCCACGGTACAATGCTCCGTTGATGTGGTTGGCTTACTTAATTTGACACTTATACCGGCGCAGTGAATGGTCGTGTGGAACTGTTTTAGAAATTCCAATCCCAATATGATGTTTTCCTTGAATTGCGGCATGATGAGAAATGTAACATCTGAGCTTTGGTTTCCAAATGTAACAGGTAACACTGTTGATCTTGTGATGTTCACCGTGGTGCCGTCTGCGAGGATAACATTTGCCTCATGCCGTGAATAAGTAAACCTTTTCTTGATTTTTTCCGCAAATTCTCTTTTTATAAAACAGCTAGTGGCACCAGTGTCGACAGTTGCTTTAATAGCTTTCCCCTCTATTAAGACAGTTGCAGTAAGGCGATATTCTTCACATTGCAATGATGTAATATTCTGGTTACTCTTCTTTGCCGGGGGTTCATCCTGCTGCGTTTCTGGATTGGATGAGCTTTCGTTTAGCACTTGGTCACCTTGATTGGTGCAATACAGGTTATTTCTAGAGTTGTCCGCACGTCGATTATAGTTTTGTTGATTTCGAGGCTGTTCTGACCGAGAATTATTTGGTATGCTTTCGAGTTCGTCTGCCAAGGAGATCAATTCCGAAAGTGTGGTAAAGTCTTTACGGCGAATGTACCATTGATAATCCGAATGCGCGTTTCTAAAAATTCGTTCCAATTTTTGTTCTTCGGTCATATTGGTGTGCTGCATAAGATGCTGTATAGAGAGTACATATTCCTTAAACGGCTCCTTATTACGCTGTATCCTTCTCCTAATTTCATCCTCCAATTTCTCAAAGTATCTCGGTGGCAAAAAGAATTTCAGAAAATCACTCTTAAATTCGTTCCAGGTAGTCCAGTGTCGGTTGTTGTTCCTTAGCCAGATTAAAGCTTTACCTCGTAACAACTCTGGCATTACTTTAATTATTTGATTCAATTCCACGATGTACATTTCAGCCATTTCTTCTACACGTTCTACGAATCCAATAGGGTCCATTCCATTTTCAAAAGTAATATTCCATTTTCGGATTTGGTCGAGAATTACGAGTAACGACGAATTATTGGATGGCTTGGGCGGAGAATCTTTTTGAAATCCATATTCGGGGTTTGTTGGCGACATCTTCTGTACTTTGTGATCGTTTGTTACCCCTGTGCTTGACTCTCCATGTGACCTTTCCGCGGAAATGTGGGGAAGGGCGTACTCTGTTTTTATTGGGGATAATACTATTGCTTCTGCTCCACACGGTGTTACGGTTATAAGGGGTTGTTTTGTGACGGCTCGCAATGTCGGCGATTTGGTCGGACTGGTACTTTCATGTTTGTTCTGCAACTCTATAAGCCGTCTGTATACATCGGCTTCATGGTCGTTGTGGAGAAATTTAGCCCATCTTTTTCGGAGATCGTCCACTTTTCCAACTGGATCAAGATTGAATTCAGTAAGATATGTTACCAAGTCTTCTTGCTTTAGCATATAGGCCCAGGAGACCTTCAACATTGTCTTTTCGTTTGACATTTTTTTTTTTTTTTTTTTTTTAACTGTTTTTTTTTTCACTGGGTTTTCATCTGTATTTGTCTAATTATTGTTCACTCATTTATTTATTCTTTCTCTCTTTTATGTCCCTGCTCGGGCGCCATTGTGACGACGTGTTTTCACTTTGAAGCTGGGGTAGGTTCAGCGGGGGCCAGAGTCGTCACAAAAATTTATTTGTTAGGACATAAAGAGAGAGAGAGCGAAGCAAAAATATTTTCTTAAAACGTTATAAATTTATTTCCTTAAATAACACTAAACACTACACTAAACACAATAAAATCACGTTCAGAACTTTTTACGAAGAACACTAAATCACAAAGTTCAGTCGAAATGTTAATAAACGGGTAGCAGTGGTGGCAGCTTGGCACAGCGGCGGCCCGATGAATAGGCGAGCGACGAATAGAGTGGCGGCAGCTTGGCACAGCGGCGGCCCGATGAATAGGCGAGCGACGAATAGGGTGGCGGCGGCTTTGGCACAGCGGCGGCCCGATGAATACGTCAGCGGCGAGTAGTAGTGGCGGCAGCTTGGCACAGCGGCGGCCCGATGAATAGGCGAGCGACGAATAGGGTGGCGGCGGCTGTGGCACAGCGGCGGCCCGATGAATACGTCAGCGGCGAGTAGTAGTGGCGGCAGCTTGGCACAGCGGCGGCCCGATGAATAGGCGAGCGACGAATAGGGTGGCGGCGGCTTTGGCACAGTGGCGGCCCGATGAATACGTCAGCGGCGAGTAGTAGTGGCGGCAGCTTGGCACAGCGGCGGCCCGATGAATAGGCGAGCGACGAATAGGGTGGCGGCGGCTTTGGCACAGCGGCGGCCCGATGAATACGTCAGCGGCGAGTAGTAGTGGCGGCAGCTTGGCACAGCGGCGGCCCGATGAATAGGCGAGCGGCGAATAGGGTGGCGGCGACTTTGGCACAGCGGCGGCCCGATGAATACGTCAGCGGCGAGTAGTAGTGGCGGCAGCTTGGCACAGCGGCGGCCCGATGAATAGGCGAGCGACGAATAGGGTGGCGGCGGCTTTGGCACAGCGGCGGCCCGATGAATAGGCGAGCGGCGAATAGGGTGGCGGCGGCTTTGGCACAGCGGCGGCCCGATGAATACGTCAGCGGCGAGTAGTAGTGGCGGCAGCTTGGCACAGCGGCGGCCCGATGAATACGCGCACGACGAATCGGGTGGCGGCAGCTTTGGCACAGCAGCAGCCCGATGAGTACGTCAGTCGCCGTCAACGCAGCCCGAAGAATAGGGAGTATTGCTACAACCCTCACTTGACCCTGCGTTCAGTCGCCGTCAACGCAGCCCGAAGAATAGGGAGTATTGCTACAACCCTCACTTGACCCTGCGTTCAGTCGCCGTCAACGCAGCCCGAAGAATAGGGAGTATTGCTACAACCCTCACTTGACCCTGCGTTCAGTCGCCGTCAACGCAGCCCGAAGAATAGGGAGTATTGCTACAACCCTCACTTGACCCTGCGTTCAGTCGCCGTCAACGCAGCCCGAAGAATAGGGAGTATTGCTACAACCCTCACTTGACCCTGCGTTCAGTCGCCGTCAACGCAGCCCGAAGAATAGGGAGTATTGCTACAACCCTCACTTGACCCTGCGTTCAGTCGCCGTCAACGCAGCCCGAAGAATAGGGAGTATTGCTACAACCCTCACTTGACCCTGCGTTCAGTCGCCGTCAACGCAGCCCGAAGAATAGGGAGTATTGCTACAACCCTCACTTGACCCTGCGTTCAGTCGCCGTCAACGCAGCCCGAAGAATAGGGAGTATTGCTACAACCCTCACTTGACCCTGCGTTCAGTCCAGTCCAGTCACCACAAATAGTCAAGGCTTATTGTTTGGCTTACTAAGACTCAATTCAACCGAGGTTGCGCGCCTTTTCTTCCTCCCAATCACACTTGACTTACCAGCCATCAACAGAAGACTGATCCCGATTGGGTGAAATGCGTCTCCTTTTATACCTTTTTGGCTGGACAACGATTGTTGTTTTCTCATGACAGCAGCTGATCCCAATCTGACAGTTTTGCGTAGTTCCGCCATTTGCCACCAGGGGTTCCAATGTTGTATTTTAAGTATACTTCTTTCTACTAGGGAACAATAATAATGTACCCCAAAAACGAAAGCATGACTTTTGGGCGTTACAATAGACAATTCTCTTTCAGGGGTAAAGGGCTTAGAAATAACTTCTAATATTTTTATTTTTTTTTTTAGACAATTTCATTGAAAAATGTAGCTAAAATCGTCCAAATATCGAATATCGGGAGGTGCCGTTATATGGGTGATATACGATGTCCTGGGCCTATATAGACAGTACCCTTCCATGGGCTAAAGTACTCAGAAGAAATTTCTTTTGCGGATTTTCAGATAATTTCATTGAAAAATCGTAAAAATATCGAATATACGGGGTGTACCCTTATACGATATTGTGGACCGATATAGCCCATCTACGAACTTGACCTGCCTGCAGACAATAGACTGATCTGTGCAAAATTTTAGCCTCCTATCTTTATTCGTTTTGACTCTAGCGTGATTACAACAGACGAAAAGCTATCCTTCTTACCTCCCTTTCAGAGGTGTTTCCAAAGCATCCCAATAATTGTCTCCCTTCAAGTAGCGATAAAAGGCTTTAAAAAATGGAGAAGTCAAAGCCAAAATGCCGGTGGTAAGGACCGTCATATAAAAACTAAAAGACGTCATTGTGTCTTTGCGATTCTCTACCTCAAGGATTTTCAATTCATCCGGGGTAGCTGAAATTAAACCAAACATAGATTAGAACTCCTTTACAAACAATTCTGATGTGTTTCCCTCCTGCCATACCTTCCAAATTCCATAGCCACAAATCTCTCACCAATTTCTTCATCTCCTTTTTATGCCACAAAAACAGGGCCATTTTCATGTTGGCCATCAAAACTTGCCACACAGGTGCCATGGCATCCGTCACAAGACTCATATCCTCCAAATGCTGCAGAGAGTACAAAGTCAACAGTTGGCTGAGAATAAATTGCACTATATTGGGTATCCAGAAAAGAAATCCATTGACTATGGTCCGCCTGGCCGATAGGGCATCAACACCGATTGCCGTAAAACAGAATTTCTGTACAACAAAATAATATTTGACACCCTCCAATGGGGGTAAGTCGTCGCTTGTCATTGCTACTTGATTGATAGTTTAAAATTATCTGAACCGGAACGAAAATAAAATGAAAAGGAAATCAGTTTTCAGTTAAATTGTTTTCTTCTTTCCTCAATATATTTTCATAATTTATTTAAAGCGTTAATTTGTCGTCAACGCCCATTCGATTTGGAAACATAAACAGCCATTACCGGCAATTGCTTTATTAAGCAAACGTGTGTTGCCCTTTCCTTGTAGTTCCCACCATTGAACCATGAACTCTATGGTGTAGAACCGAAAAGTGTGCCAGCAATTAGTTGTGGGCGTTTAATAATATCACGAGATTATGAAACGTATTCAAAATTCAAGAGCATGTTGTCAAATATATGTAAGCGAAATGAAAAATATTTTCGTTATTAATAATACAACCGTTAAAAAATTTGTTTATAGTTTATTACTTACGCCTATATTAATAAAATTAATCAAAAACTTATTAATTTATATTAAAAATGTACTGAGCAAGCAAGTAGTAAGGAAAGGACGAAAGTGGGATGGGGACGATTACATGGTACTTACACGAGGAAAACGTATGTTAACACAAAGGTCGGATTCTAAGTTTTAGAATTTCGCTTAAATTAAAACTCCGACTCATCGATTGTATTCGATCACCTAATAATCGATTTTCGATTTTGTGTTTTTGCACCAAAATCTATTTAGATTTAAGAGATTTTAAGTGTGATTTGACTTTCTTGACTAGGCAGAATAAATTTAGATAATCAAATCTATAAATATAGGGTGAGATAAAAATAAACTCCAACAAAGTCAAACCCCATGATATTTACATTCCACGATTTGGTATAGCCCAAATATAACGCTACTTCCCGATATTCGGTATTTTGATGATTTTAGCGACAATATTCACCGGAATTGTTTCAAATTTGGTATTTGAAGTTCGTAATGGGTGTTAAAGCCAGAAGCAGAAGATTGTCTGTGCAGATCCACGTCTTCGTATAGCCCCCACATAAAGGTACCTCCCGATACTACAGCCTCTGACAGAAAATTGTCCATGCAGATCCACGTCTTCGTACCGTAAAACAGTACCTCCTGATATTCGGTATTTTGATGATTTTAGCGACATTATTCATGGATACCTAGAATGCCTAGGGCAGAAAATTGTCGGTTCAGGTCCACGTTTTGGTATAGGCCCCAAATAATGGGGTATTTTGATGACTTTAGCTACATTATTCACATTTTTTTCTAAGTTTCACATTTGAATATTGTAACGGCCTATGACAAAAGTTACCTATGCAAGTCCATGTCATCGTATTGACCCTAATATAACAGATACGTTTGGTATTTCTAAGATTTTAACAGAATTTTTAACGGATTTTATTGTTTTTGGGAATTGCCAAATTCGTTCCAAACGGTGGAGGGTATTCAAAGTTCGGCACGGCCGAACTTACACCTTTTTTATTTATTTATTTTTTTTTTAATTTTATTGAATGAAAGCAAAAATTGTCGGAAATAGCATCAAATTTTAGAATAGTTTTAGATTTGTTCGAATTGGTCACGAATTAGGGCCTTCAAATTGCCAATTCGGGCAGCGTGTGGCGGGCTGCCCGAATGTTGCTTTACAGTATTTTGGCCCATTCGAGCAAGCCCGAGCTGATCGACACTTTGGTATTTTTTAGTGCCAAATTTCCTTTCCAAATTACTCCGGACACAATAGTCCAACGGATTGGTATCCGGAGATTTTGGTGGCCGTTGTGCGCTGGAAATGAAGCGAGGAACCTCATTTTGTAACCATTCTTGGGTGGTGCGTGCTGAGTGCGATAGTGCTGAGTCCTGTTGGAATGTCCAAGGTATGCGGCCAAAATGTTTGCGTGCCCAAGGCTTTAATACACCCTCCAGAATATTTTCGCGATAATATTGGGCATATATTCTGATGCCACGGGCGATTAATATCGGCCATCGGCTGTTATGGCAGCCCACACCATCACCATGGCCGGCTTGAAGCTTGAGTTCTGGTGGCCAATCGAAGGTGCACATTTTCAGCTGACCTCTTTAGCAAGTAAACACGATCATTTTGTTTGTTTACAAACTGCTGGACAACGAATGTTTTCTCAACGGAGAAAACCAAATTCGGCAGTTCACCACTTTCGGCCAAGCCGAGCAACTCTTTAGCTCTTTTGAGTATATTTTTTCTATTGCGGCTTTACCCCGAGCACAGTTTTTTCATCTCGCCCTGTATAGATTATTTTAAGCCAAAAAGTCCATTTTGCTGATTCGCTTGATGGTTAACAATTCCAACTATGCCGAAGACACTACATGCCTAAAATGAACGGATTCCAAGAAATCTCAATCCGATTTATTTTTTCAAAATATAAAACAGCCTGGAACCTTCCTCCTATTTTGGTTACTTTGTCATGCAAAACTTTCAGAATTCCTCTCTCTTTAGCTCTATTTTCGTAATCTGCTGCATTCTTTCTGCAGTTTTTTTTGAACTGTGTTATCCAAATACAATACCATTTCATTCCCATTCGTTTTGCCACCTAGATATTTTTTCAACATCAGGGGTTCATATACAGCCTATATCTTTTGCTACGTTTGAAACTGCGTTGACATCTATTATGTACTGCATGGGGCCTTACCCATTGATACCCTGTATTCGTGGTTTGTTCACAATATTTCGGCACAATTTGGTATCTTAAATTTACGCTACCGCCAACTTTCCGAAAGGACAATGATGCTCAGGGCCATTGGGGAGCATAACGAGGAGAAATTCATTGCTACCATCATTGAATGCGTAAAAGGGGACTGATGACGATTAGTGGCTCATTTCAAAACTTAGGTATTCCCTGCCTTACCCCCTGGTAAACATTACCATCGTTCTCCAGTAATAAACAAACGTTGTATTTATAAAAACAACAATAATGGGATTAAACCTGACCATTTTGTAACAACAAAAGGCTATGCTATCCAGAACAAAAAAGCCAACACTGTTCTAGAATCTGAAATTTTAACCGAGACATTTATTTTTATTTGAAGTAGCCAATGACTGGTATTTTGTGTCTGGTATTTTGTGCGAATATAGTTATATATTTATTTCTTTCCATCCATTGTTATAAGCATTGTCATAAATGATCCGGCAGTTCTGTATACCTAGAAAAAGAGTGAAATTAAAAACAAAGAACATAATTTTAAAGCCTCTTCAGGCCCATCACAGAATCATACAAACCCACACAAACAAACTCAAATCAGTGGTGAAGAAAATTCCTCGAACATAACACGGTTTCTGGGCTCTAAGCATGGTTAACAGGAGTAACTTCTTCGATTTTACGCTCAAGTCATGCCATTGGAAATGTTCATAGATGGCCAAGCTGACAGAAGTGCTCTGGAATTATATTGTTAAATTTATTTATTTAAAATAATTATATTTGGTGTTTACCATATCCTGAATCTTCTGCCCTCCATGACAGTACAACATCAGCTGAGTGGTCACTGATATAAGAAACGATAAGCTAAACAAAAGATCGGCAATTTCTCCACCCGAAGGTATTTGAAATGACAGACATGCCAACTGAAGACAGCTAATCAAAAATTTGATGAAAACCAAACCTTTGTAGACATCGTTGAAACGTTCGGCCATTTGAATGATACGTCGATGATATTTTACACATTCAATGATGGTAGCAATGAACTTCTCTTCGTTATGTTCCCCAATGGCCCTGAGCATCATTGTCCTCTCTGACAATTGGCGGTAGCGTAAATTTAAAATACGAAATTGTGCCGAAATGTTGTGCACAAACCATGAATACAGGGTATCAATGGATAAGGCCCCATGCAGTACATAATAGATGCCAACGCAGTTCCAAACGTAGCAAAAGATATAGGCTGCATATGAACCCCTGATGTTGAAGAAATATCTGTGGGGGAGAACAAAAGGAAATTAAATAAAGATTATGAAAGTAGAGCTAAAGACTGAGAAATTCTGAAAGTTTACATGACAAAGAAACCTATATAGGAGGAAGGTTCCAGGCTGTTTTACATTTTGAAAAAATAAATCGGATTGAGATTTCTTGGAAACAGTTCATTTTAGGCATGTAGTGTCTTCGGCATTATTACTGACAGCAATACGAGGATTATTTTGGTTGAAGATGTAAACCCTCAAGCGAATCAGCAAAAGGGACCTTTTGGTCCTTTTTTATTTTGCTTGAACAAATCTATACAGGGCGAGATAAAAATACTGTGCTCGGGGTAAAGCCATCGAAATTCCAAAAAGTGCAAGAACTTACACCGCAACAGAAAGAAAATAGACTTAAGAGAGCTAAAGAGTTGCTTCGCTTGGCCGAAAGTGGTGAACTGCTGAATTTGGTTTTCTCCGATGAGAAAGCATTCGTTGTCCAGCTGTTTGTAAACAAACAGAATTATCGAGTTTACTTGCCGAAGAGGTCAGCTGAAAATGTGCACCTTCGGTTGGCCACCAGAACTCAAGCGCCGGCCATGGTGATGGTGTGGGCCGCCATAACAGCCGATGGTCGCTCTCCGCTTGTATTAATCGACCGTGGCATCAAAATAAATGCAGAATATTATCGCGAAAATATTCTGGAGGGTGTATGAAAGCCTTGGGCATGCAAACATTTTGGCCGCAGACCTTGGACATTCCAACAGGACTCAGCACCATCGCATTCATCACGCGCCACCCAGGAATGGTTACAAAATGAGGTTCCTCGTTTCATTTCCAGCGCACAATGGCCACCAAAATCTGCGGATACCAATCCGTTGGACTATTGTGTCTGGAGTATTTTGGAAAACAAGGTTGGCACTAAAAAATACCAAAGTGTCGATCACCTCAAGCAAGCGCTTCGCCGGGAATGAACCAAAATACCGCAGAGCAACATTCGGGCAACGTGTGACGGTTTAATTGTCCGTTGAGGCCATAATTTGTGCCAAAGGTGACCAATTCGAACAAATCTAAACTTATTCTAAAATTTGATGCTATTTCCGATATTTTTTGCTTTCATTCGATAAAATTTAAAAACAAGTTAAAAAGCAGTAAGTTCGGCCGGGCCGAACTTTGAATACCCTCCATCATTTGGAACGAATTTGGAAATTTAAAAAAAATATAATCCTTAAAAAATTCTTTTAAATTTTAAAAATACCGAATATTGCCGTTATATTGGGGTCTATACGACGTGGACCTACATAGGCATTGTTTGCCATTAGCCATTACCATATTCAAATTCGAAACTTGAAATAAACGGTGATTAATGTGGCTAAAATCATCAAAATATCGTATATAGGGAGGTACCATTATATCGGAGCTGTGCGAAGACCTGGACCAGCATAGACAATTTTCGGTCACAGACTATAGCATCCATTACTAACGTCAAAAACGATATCTCAAACAATTTCAGTGGGTATTGTACCTAAGCTCGTCAAAATACCGAATATAAGGAGGTACTGATATATGGGGGCTATACGAAGACCTGGACCTGCATAGAAATTTTTCTGTCACAGACTGTAGTTCCCATTACGAACTCTAAATACGTAATTTGAAACAATTCCGGTGAATAATGGCGTTAAAATCATCAAAATAACTAATTTTGGGAGGTACCGTTATATGGGAGCTATACGAAGACGTGGACCTTCACAGACAATTTTCTGTCATAGGCTGTAGTATTCATTACGAACCTCAAATACCAAATTTGAAACAATTTCGGTAAATTATGTCGCTGAAATCATCAAAATACCGAATATCGGGAGGTACCGTTATATGGGGGCTATATGAAAACGTGGACCTACATGGCCCATCTACGAACTTAACCTGCCTACTGGAAAAATAAACAGGTGTGCAAAATTTTAGCCTTCTATCGCAATTCGTTCGAAAGATAGCGTGATTACAACAGACAGACAGACGGACAGACAGACGGACATGGCTAAATCGACTTTGAATTTTACGCTCATCAAGAATATATATACTTTGTTGGTTCTGACATGAGTATTTCGAGGAGTTACAAACGGAGGGTATAAAAAGGTAAAAATTATGGCGTTTGACTTTGTTGCAGTTTTTTTCATCTCACCCTGTATATATACCTTGTTAGGGCTTAAATTATTCTTTCGATTAGTTACAAACGGAATGACGACCTTAATATACCCTCCATACTATGTATGGTGGAGGGTACAAAAAAATACATAATTTTGTAGCACAGTGTAATTTAGAGCTTCGGAGGATTTTTTCCTCCTGGGAGCAAAAAATTGAGAGCCGTTGAATCCGACAGTAAATAGACTAACTTCTGGAGTAACAGCAGGTTGAAAATAATGAGTTATTGCTTAAAAAATACAAAACAGAAGAACTTATTTTTTTGTTACCAAGTAATGGGTAATGTCGGCACAGTCCACATATTGACACCAGCAATTACTTGCAAATAGCTGCCTAGCTTAGTCTTATTTTCAAATGGGACATATCATAGTTTGTAAGTACTTACCAAACCGCCACATAGGCTATTGGTGAGAGCCTTCTTATTATATGTCCATGTTAAAATAAGGGGCTAGGATATTGTTTTGTAAGTAGTTAGTGGTACTTTAATGTATGTAATAACTAATTTTTTGGTAATTATATTTTTTGCTACGCATTGCCCTGACTAAATGTTGATCCCTTTAGTTCCTTTCCAGGGCACAACAACTCCCAAGTATGAGGTGGTTAATTATCACTCAAAAATTAGTCTTCCAAATCTACTTACTCAGCCTTCAGAGGTGCATCCAATGACTCCAAGAAACCATAACCCTGCCAAGCATAAACGGAAGCAATTGCCAATGGCGCCAGAACAGCCAAGACTCCAGTCACATAGACGCTGGTAAAATAAAACTTAGAAATCCTGGCATCGTATCTATTTTCCTCGGCAATAATTTCCACCTCCTCTTCGTTGGCTGAAAACCAAATCAAATTAAAAAACAAAAAATAACAACCACAAAACCCTTTAACTTACCCTCCAATGTCCAGAGCCACACTTTCCGCACCGACTCCACGATTTTCTTCCGATTCAACATAAAAACGAAAAACTTGACAGACGACAACAACGACTGCCAAAATGGCGATAGGGCTGCTGTGGTTTTGGCCAAATCAATTTTTATATATTTAAACGCATACACACCCATGGGTGCAAGTAGACCCAAAATGCTGAACAATGGTATGAAAGTTAACCATGGACTGAAAATGGTCCTCTTCACCGATGTTGGATCGAAGCCAATGCCGGCAAAGCATATTTTTTGTATGTACAAGAATTTGCGCAAAGATGGTTGACGCGGCAGGGCATCCGGTGCCCTGGGTATTTTGAACATTTTCGATATTATTTCGAAGAATTTTACTGAATTTCCAGCGGAAGTTGTACTTTGTATTTATATGCATATTTGTATGTTATATATTTCTTTATTACTAAAATATAATATTTCAAATAACAATAATAAACAATGACGTTATTTGGATAATTGTAGACCTCGTATTTTTTACATTGATGACTACTTCCTAGTTCAATTATTTCAGGTTATCATTTATTTTTTAAATTATATACCGTGGTAAAATAAATATATTATTAAAATAAGTATGTAATTGTATAGAAAATATTTTGTTTCATACCTCTTTTCAAAGACGAAAATTTAGAAAATATTCAGGAATATTTAAATACGAAACACCAGCAAACCATTTTGCGAAGGGGGCACCACAGACCACAGTTTACTTTTTACACCATGAACCTCAATGAAATGGGAAATGAAAAAATATTGTTTTTTCGATACCAAATTTTCAAGGATACCAGAAATGCTGAATAAGAATTTCCATTGTTAATTATTTATTGAATAAATAGAAGCTTCTACGTCAACAGTATGATTTTATTTTCATATTCTTCTTCATTACATGGAGGGTGTATTGAGTTTGTCATTCTGTTTGTAACTCATCGAAATAATTATTAAATACCATAAATCGGTGTACGTTTTGGTGTAACCTCCTATATTTGAATCTGATCAGCCTAGAATTCTAATTTTTGTTTCCATCGTGAATGGAACTTTAGAATTTGCACAGAGATGTCATTTGTCTGCAGGCAGGGCGATTTCGAAGAGCTCATGTGTCCTTTATAAACGGTGATTATACCCTCAGCCATATGGCTACAGAAGCTTCACATAGTTTTATAGGGCCAAAACGTGTCTAATCGAAATAATGGTTTTAGACCCAAAGGGACCTATTTGGACCAAATCCCAATATTTTTGTGGGTGTTAGGTCAGGTACGAAAATGGACAATATCGGGCAACTCCAACAAGTACCTTCCCCATAAAGAGTCAAATTTTTTAATAATTTTAACTTTTATAAAATCTGAAATGAGAGTGCGATTGCTTTCAAACATCTTAATATTTTTACCAACAAAAGATCAGGCGTAAAAATGAGATATATCGGTCAACTCCTTCTGGTACCTTCCTCACAACGGGAAAAAAATGTTGAATAATTATACCTCTCATAAAATGCGAAAAAAGCATCTGATTCAATCTAAACTTCACTCATTCCAATATTTCTACAAACGCATGATCTGATGTGAAGATGGTAGATATCGGACGACTCCTTCAGACACTCCACACAAAAGCCAAACTTATGATTACTCTTCAAATGTCACACGTCCCAATATTTTTATAAAAAAAACTGTTGTGAATATACGGTATATCGGTCCACTTCTTCTGGTACCTCCCAACCAAAGGTGTGAATATTTTATCTTGAACTTCAACCAACTTCTTCTGCTACCTCTTAAAAAACTTTAAATAAATGTAAAATTATTTAAAACTTTATTTTGATATTCTGAAATTTGATATTAGGTCACAGTTGGTTTCTAGGGTCATAATGACCTACAAATACCAATACCAAGAAAAATCCGTGAAAAAATGTGACAAACCCATCAAAATACCGAATATCGGGAGGTACCGTTATATGGGGACTATACCAAACTGTGGACCTTTACATGCAATGTTCCGACAACCGTAGCTGGAACCCATTGTGATCCACAAATACCAATTTTTAGACAAATCCGTAAAAAAAATGTGACAAACCCATCAAAATACCGAATATCGGGAGGTACCATTATATGGGGGCTATACCAAAGCGTGGACCTTTACATGCAATGTTTCGCCACACGAACTAGGACCCATTATGACCTACTATTAGCAATTTTCAGACAAATCAGTGAAAAATGTGGCAAAAATCATCAAAATACGAATATCGGGAGGTACCGCTATATGGGGACTATACCAAAAAGTGGACCTATACATGCAATGTTCCGCCAACCGGAGCTAGAACCACTTATTTACAACAAATACCAATTTTTAGATAAATCCGTGCGAAAATGTGGCAAAAATCATTAAAATACCGAATATTGGGAGGTACCATTAATGGGGACTATACCAAATACCAACCATCCTAGACACAATACAAATTGTTCTGCTAAATTTTGACGCTCTACGTCAAATAATGTGAGCTGTATCGTGATTTCAACAGATAGACGGACATCGTTAAATCGACTTAGAATTTTATGCTGATTATGAATATATATATTTTATGGTGTCAACGGCGAATATTTAGGGATGTTACAAACGGAATGATAAAGTTAATATACCCTCCTTTCCAAGGTGGAGGGTATAAAAATTAATTAAACTGAAAAAGTTCTGCATTGAGTACTTAAAGGTTCTAACACGAACTGTTGGAACGAATCTACAATTTAAATGTGGACTATTCGCTGACGAATCATTGGACAATGGAAATGGAGTATATAGGTCCATTCTTTATGGTACATCAACATCAAAAATCATTCATATATCTCTTATAAAACGAATCATGTACCCGATAAATATTGACTTGATCGGTGGAAATATTTATAATAAACTTAGGCCAGTAAGTTGCTTAAAATTACTTCTCAAGGGCTATTTGACATTGTAACACAAAGCAATATAAATCCATTTTGCAAACAGATAATCGAAACTTTCGGGGGATTCAAAAGCATTTTTTAGTCATATTGGCATCTATAATTGTAAAAATCTAAAAATTGGAGACAGCATTCGAACATAGATTCTACATTTTTTTTTTTCATTTCCTCATGGTAGAGGATAACAAACTTTCGACTCGGCCGAGTTTAACTTCCATTCAATTACATAGTTGTAGTTGTTGATGTCATAACAATCTATATCCAGGCCAGTGATTAAATACATATACATATTTAAACATATTTAAATGTTATATAATATCTAAATTATTGGTTAAGGCTACGTAAATGCCAACTCAACTCAAGGCCAAAGTAAATGCCAACTCATTTCCCTATCATCACTTTTAGTGCATTTCGAATAAGTTAAGTTATAACTGCTGTGCTATTCTATACAGCATTGCCAAAAAATGCTCGATAACTTTTAAAATTTTATTGGCATAAAATTGAATGAAGGAATTATTCGAAACCAAGCAATCGTTGCTTTACATATTGTTGAAAAATCAAAAAAAAAAAAAAAAAAAAAAAAAACAATTCCGTAAAATAATTTTTAACATATTCAAAAAAAAATTTCGAGCACAGAATTGAGTCTGACAAATTACATTTAAACATCTAAAATTATCTGAATTAACCAAATTTGCCCCGAAGCATTCTCCATGGATTGTAGAAATTTTTAATCTTAATTTGGTGAGAGATCTTCGTCCTTGTTATTATTTTGGTTTTGCTTTTGAAAATGTATTTTAATTGGCAGAATTTTTTTAGAACCGATGAATGTCCTATATTGCGCTGAGTGAGTATGTACTCGAATATTTAAGATGAATCTATGCAGATTTAGAGAATTGTGATAGAAAAATACACGCATTTATGTGTATTTTAAGCACATTCCCCTGTGGGTTCCTTTCCATTTGACGATTATTTGACGATCTAAGTCGACTTAGCGATGTCCGTCTGTCTGTTGTAATCACGGTATCTGGACCATGTAGGTCCACATTTTCATATAGCCCCCATATAACGGTACCTCCCGATATTCGGTATTTTGATGATTTTAGATTATTCACCGGAATTGTTTCAACTTTGGTATTTGAAGTTCGAAATGGATACTACAGCCTATGACAGAAAATTATCTGGGCAGGTCCACGTCTTCGTATAACCCCCATATAACGGTACCTCCCTATATTCGGTATTTTGATGATATTAGCGACATTATACACCGAAATTGTTTCAAATTTGGTATTTGAGATTCGTAATGGATGCTACAGCCTATGACAGAAAATTGTCTGTGCAGGTTTACGTCTTCGTATAGCCCCCATACAAAGGTACCTCCCAACATTCGGTATTTTGACGAGTTTATGTACAATACCCACCGAAATTGTTTGAGATATCGTATTTGACGTTAGGAATGGATGCTATAGCCTGTGACAGAAAATTGTCTATGCTGGTCCAGGTCTTCGCACAGCTCCGATGTAATGGTACCTCCCTATATACGATATTTTGATGATTTTAGCTACATTATTTACCGTTTATTTCAAGTTTCGAATTTGAATATGGTAATGTCTTATGGCAAACAATGCCTATGTATATGTCCACGTCGTATAGACCCCAATATAACGGCAATATTCTGTATTTTTAAAATTTAACAGAATTTTTTAAGGATTTTATTTTTTCGATCTTCGATAACTTTTTCTCGAAAGTAAGGAATTGCGGAATAAGAAAAAAACATATTTTGATGTAAGAAAAAATTATTATATTTTATTTTGCAGTGACATCAACATTGCTACAAATGAAGCGGCGGTTCTATACACCTACAAATATTCAATACACAAAAATAAGAAATACTACTCTTTACCATACTTTTCCATACTCACCCATACAAACAAATTTAAGTTGGCTCTAAAAAATATGCAATTTATTTCACAAGGTTTACGAGTTCTCATCATGACAAATAGTAACAACTTTTGGGACTTTACGCTCAAGTTGTGCCAATGGAACGATTCATAGATGGTCCAATTTACGGAAGTGCTCTGAAAACAAGTGAATTCTATTATTAAAATATATGTATATTATTTAGATCCTTCAACCTTACCATATCTTTGATTTTCTGTCCACCATGACAGTACAATATCAGCTGCGTGGTTGCCGCCACCAAAAAGGATAGATTAAATAATTGATCGGCCATTTCTCCGCCCAGGGGAATTATAAATGAAAGACACGCCAGTTGTAGGCAACTTATCAAAAATTTGATGAGCACTAGGTGCTGATAGGCTTCACTAAAGCGTTTCGAAATTTCCAAAATTCGCAGATGATATTGAATGCATTCGACAATGGATTTCATAAAAATCTCATCGTTTTGAATTTCTGAAGATTTGTGAGTGACCATCATTAGAGATAGCTTGCGATAACGTAGACTTAAGATGCGAAATTGGGCCGAAATGTTGTGCACCAACCAGGAATAGAGGGTATCAATGAACAATGAACCGTAGATAATGAAATAGATGCTAATAACGTTCCACAGATAGCAAACGATGTAGGTTATATATGATTGTCGAATATTAAAGAAATATCTGAAGAAAATCATATAGAACATTTCTTTTGTTAAAATGCAGTTCAGAAAATGTATATACTTTCCCAACCCAGAATGGGAATTACGAAATAGTGTGTTTCCTAACAAAAACTAATAAAATGTACGAAGCAAAATAACTTGCTTTACTCACTTACCAAGTAAGGAGCAACGGCGACAGACCTTTTGGAAATTCGTACTAAAAGTTACAAAAAAAACTAAAATGTGCTAAATTGGAATACGTTGTATTGGACAAACGGAATGAGCTGGAAATTTGAAATAAGATTCACTGATAGAGTGCTGAATAGGGTTTATTTGGTATTATGTGAACTGATATAAAAACTTGAACTTTTGGTATGAGATTCAAGGTTGGATATTAAGTTTGATGTACAGGGTGAGATAAAAAGCCTACAACAAAGTTAAAAGCCATAGTTTTTACATTTTTTTTTAAATTTTATTAAATGAAAGCAAAAATGTTGGAAATATCACAAAAATTGTTGAATAGGTTTAGATTTGTTCCAATGGTCACCTTTGGCACGAATTGTGGCCTTCAAACGGCCAACGAAACCGTCACTAGGTATTTTGGCCCATTCCTTGCTTGAGGTGATCGACACTTTGGTATTTTTTAGTGCCAACCTTGCTTTTCTTGTGGAGAGCGACCATCGGCTGTTATGGCGCCCACACCATCACCATGGCCGGCGCTTCAGTTCTGATGGCCATCCGAAGGTGCACATTTTCAGCTGACCTCTTTGGCAAGTAAACACTATCATGTTGTTTGTTTACGAACTGCTGGACAACGAATGTTTTCTCATCGGAGAAAACCAAATTCGGCAGTTCACCACTTTCGGCCAAGCGAAGCAACTTTAGCTCTTTTGAGTCTATTTTCTTTCTGTTGTGGTGTAAGTTCTTGCACATTTTGGAATTACAATGGCTTTACCCCGAGCTCATTTTTCAATATTTGCCGAATGGAATATTGCGATATGTTCAGCTCACGAGCCATTTTTCGGCAACTGCGACGCGTGTCACTTCTCTACTTTTCGAACCACTTCTATACTTTTCGAACCATTCCTAATGACGTTGCTGTTTTTTTTTTGTCCACTTCCTTGACGTCGGGATATGCTACCAGTATCACAGTAACGAGCGATGGTACGAGACACAAAAGATTTATTCACATTTACGTGCTGGAGTGGCTTAGAAATGACAGCAGTCTAAGTTGGTTGCAGTTTTTTCGTCCCACCCTGTATGTAGAAAATTCTTTTTTGGGGGGTAAAGTACACAGAAAGAAATCATTTTGTGGGTTTTCAGACAATTTCATTAAAAATTTGTCTACAATCATCAAAATGCCGAATATAGGGGGCTATACGATATCGTGAAACGATATAGCCCATTTTCGAACTTGACCTGCCTGCAGACAAAAGACTGATCTGTACAAAATTTATCTTCTAATCTTTATTCGTTTTAACTCTAGAGTGATTACAACAGATGGACGGACGGATAAATCGTCTTAGAATTTTATGCCGATCAAGAATATATATACTTTGTTATATCTAAATTTATTATTTCAATGAGTTACGAACGGAATGACGAACTTAATATACCCTCCATATTTGTATGGTGGAGGGTATAAAAATTAAACTGAACAAATGGTGGATTTTGAGCACTAAAAAGGTATAACATGATCTGTTGGAACTAATCTAAACTTTTAAGGTGGACTTTTCGTGGTTGGTTATTATTGGCAGCTTGGCAAGTACTTACTTCTTATGACATGCTCGTATTGAATAAAGTTAGCATGATGTTTGGAAAGTAGTTACTGCTTCCAAAATAAACATAATATACCCATTATTTGGTAATGAGTTTTTTTAGACTCGCAACTTTTGGGATTTTCGTACACTCTGTACCATCGTTTCTCTCTCTCTCTCTCTCTCTCTCTCTCTCTCTCTCTCTCTCTGGTAATGAGGAGTATAAGTTCTTTTCTTTGCCATATTTTACGCTATGACCAATTGTATTCAACCTACTGGTAATACAAAAGGTAGGATGTACATAAATAATAGCTTATTTGGCTTACATGTGGAGCCCAAACTTTTGCTGAGATTTAAAATTTAAACTGGATTTTTTTGAAAGATAAAACTTATAAAATTACTCACTCAGCCTTTAAGGGAGCATCCAATGAGTTCAAAAAACCATTTCCTTGCCAAGCATAAACAGATGCAACTGCCAAAGGGGCCAGATGTGCCAAGACACCAGATATATTGACCATAGAGAAATAAAATCCACATATCTTTGCATCGTTTTTATTTTCTTCGGCAATAATTTCAAGCTCTTCTGCGGTGGCTGTTTTTTAAAATAGATTTCCCAAAATTAAATTTTTATTTATTTTTTTTTTTTTCAATCTTCCTACCTTCCAATGTCCACAACCAAACATCACGCAACAATTGCAAAATTTTCTTTCTATTAACTATGAAGAAGAAAAATTTCACTATCGATAATATGGCCTGCCAAAACGGAGATAGCGCCGATATGGCTTTGCCCAAATCCATTTTCAAATTATTAAAAGCATATGCGGTCATTGGTCCTAACAGACCAATCATTGCAAGCAAGGGTATAACGGTTAACCATGGCCTATAGATTGTCCGCTTTATCGATGTTGGATCCAAACCAATAGCCCAAAAACAGATTCTTTGAATGAAAACAAAATTCTTTATTGATGTTTGGGACGGGAGTGAATCCGGTGCAATGGGCGGTTTGAGCATTTTCTTGTTATAGTTTTCTCAGGATTTGTTAGCTGAGAATATTACTCTTAGTAATTTAAATTTTTATGTGTATTTCTGTTGACTTGCGGTATAAAATTATATCAACTTATTATTATTTTTTTAATTAACAGAATATACCCTCCGTATACTTTCTATTATCTTTTATTTTTCCATAAAACTTGGTCCCGATTTAACTAAATTTCGTTTATACTAGTAACGCACGTCTGCCGTTTCATTGATGTGTCACCTCTAATTTATTGCTTTGCACTACAAACTAACTGCGAACACTAACAATTTGAATCAATTTAAAAACAAAATAAGCCAACTAAAATTTAAAAAATTTAGTCTAGCGCCATTTAAAATTTAACAAAAATATTTAAGTTTAAAAATAGTTTAGTTTACAAAAATTAGAAATAGTTTTTTCCGCGTCAGGGTGAACTTTCGGCTGTAAACTTTTGATATTTGAAACAGACATTTCCCATTCTCTGCAATGCCATAATACTAACTGACAACAAAAAAACTGAAAACTATCAAACGGTGAGCAGATATACAGGGTGAGATGAAGAAACTGCAACCAATTTAGACAACTGTCATTTCAAAGCCACTCGTCCGACAACTGTTAAAATTATTCCAGTGACAGCCCATTATATTGTTTACAAGCGTACAAAAGCATTTTGGTGAGCATTTTTCAGAAAAAAGTTATTCTCTTTATATTTGGCTGGAAAACCACAAATGGCTATGGTTAGAGCACTCCAGCATTTAAATGTGAATAAATCTTTTGTGTCTCGTACGATCACTCGTTACCGTGATACTGGTAGCGTAGCCCGACGTCAAGGAAGTGGACGGAAGAAAACAGCTACATCAGCAGAAATGATTCGAAAAGTAAAAAAGCGCCTTGATCGAAACCCGCTTAGCAGTGGCCGAAAAATGGCTCGTGAGCTGGACATATCATAATATTCCATTCGGCAAATATTTAAAAATTAACTCGGGGTAAAGCCATTGAAATTCAAAAAAGTGCAAGAACCTACACCGCAACTGAAAGAAAATAGACTCAAAAGAGCTAAAGAGTTGCTTCGCTTGACCGAAAGTGGTTAACTGGATAATTTGGTTTTCTCCGATGAAAACATTCGTTGTCCAGCTTGTCCAGTTTGTAAACAAACAAAATGATCGTGTTTACTTGGCAAAGAGGTCAGCTGAAAATGTGCACCTTCGGTTGGCCACCAGAACACAAGCGCCGGCCTTGGTAATGGTGAGGGCCGCCATAACAGCCAATGGTCGCTCTCCACTCGTATTAATCGACCTTGGCATCAGAATAAATGCCGAATATTATCGCGAAAATATTCTGGAGGTTGTATTAAAGCCTTGGGCACGCAAACATTTTGGCCACAGACCTTGGACATTCCAAAAGGACTCAGCACCATCGCCCTCACCACGCGCCACCCAAGAATGGTTACAAAACGAGGTTCCTCGCTTCAGTTTCAGCGCACAATGGCCCCCAAATTCTCCGCATACCAATCTGTTGGACTATTGCGTCTGGGGTATTTTGCAAAGCAAGGTTGGTACTAAACAATACCGAAGTGTCGATCACCTCAAGCATGCGCTTCGCCAGGTATGGGCCAAAATACCGCAGATCAACATTCGGGCAGCGTGTGACAGTTTCATTGCCATTTAATGGCCATAATTCGTGCCAAAGGTGACCAATTCGAACAAATCTAAACTTATTCTAAAATTTGATGCTATTTCCGACATTTTTTGCTTTAATTCAATAAAAATAAAAAAAAAAGAAAGTAAAAATTATGGCGTTTGTTTTTGTTGCAGATTTTTTACCTCCCGATGTTCGGTATTTTGATGATTTTAGCGACGTTATTCACAGGAATTATTTCAACTTTCGTATTTGAAGTTCGCAATGGATAATTCAAAAATGACAGAAAATTTTTTATGCAGGTCCGCGCCTTCGTATGCTCCACTTATAACGGTACCTCCACTTTGCGGTATATTAATTCGAAATAGCGATATTATTCAAAGGAATTATTTTAAATCTCATATTTGAAGGTCCCAATGGGTACTACAGCCTATGACAGAAAATTGTCTGTGTAGGTCAACATCTTCGTATAGCCCCCATATAACGGTACCTCCCGATATTCGGTATTTTGAGGATTTTTACAACATTATTCACCGGAATTGTTTCAAATTTGGTATTTGAAGTTTGTAATGGATACTTCAGCCTATGACAGAAAATTGTATGTGCAGGTCCACGTTTTGGTATAGCCCCCATATAACGGAATTTTTTTTCAAGTTTCGCATTTGAATATTGTAATGGCTTATGACAAATTTTCAATTCTTCACGAAAGTAAATTTCCTATTTGTCCTAAAAGGCGACTAGACTTATTTGCCTGTATTGAATGGATCTAGTAAATTGGGTTGTACTGGTATTAGGGAGTAACATTAGTATTTAATTAAAAGATACAACAATTTTAGCTTGTCTTCTAAAACACTGCTATATTTCCAATCCAAAAAGTTTTTAAATAAAACCTATTTTTGGGTCCATCAAAATGTCTAATTTGCTAATAAGTGTGAGATAATAATTTCAACTGCTTGTAAAATCAGGATTATTTATCCTCCATTGACATCAGCATGGTCATAAAGGAGCCAGCGGTTCTGTAAACCTAGAGGGAAACAATAAAATATGGAATTAATTAGTTACAGTCTTCCCAAAATGATAGCCCCATACGAACCCATACAAACAAACTTAGATCAGTTTTAAAGAATATACCCCTTATTTCACAAGGTTTCTGGGCCCGGATCATGGTTAACAAAAGTAATTTTTGGGATTTAATACTCAAATCATGCCAATGGAAACTTTCGTAGATGGCCCAGTTAACAGAAATGGTCTGCAACGATAAATCAATTATTGAAATTAATTTTAAATTCAAAATCTAACTCCCGCTCACCATATCCTGAATTTTCTGCCCTCCATGACAATACAGCATCAATTGAGTGGTAACAGCCATCAAAAACGACAGATTAAACAATTGATCGGCAATCTCTCCACCCAGCGGGATGATGAATGACAGGCATGCCAACTGCAGACAGCTAACCAAAAATTTGAAGAAAACCAAAACTTTGTAGACTTCACTGAAACGTTCCGACATTTGAATGATGCGACGATGATATTTTACACAATCGATGATCGATTTTAGGAACTTCTCTTCGTTGTGATTGCCCATGGCCTTGTGGGCAATAATGTTCTGCGACAATTGGTGATAATGTAAATTCAAGATACGAAACTGGGCCGAAATATTCGAGACAATCCAGGAATAAAGGGTGTCAATGGACAGCGAACCATTGACAATGTAATAGATACCGATGAAATTCCATGTGAAGCAAGCGGCATATATCACAATTGATGCTTTTATATCGATGAAGTATCTACAGAATTATAAAAATATTGGAAGGGCTCTTGAATTTTATTATTTTTTTCCAATATCTACTCACTCCGCCTTGAAAGGGGCATCCAGTGATTCCCAAAAATCATGACCCTGCCAGGCATAAATTGCAGCCACAGCCACTGGCGCCAGTGTGGCCAGGACCCCAGTGATATTTACCATTGAATAATAAAATGTACACACCTTTGCATCGCCTCTATTTTCCTCAGCAATAATTTTCAGTTCCTCTTCATTGGCTTCATTCAAAAAATATCAAATTCAAATAAAAAAGTACCCTCAAATATCTTCCCTACCTTCCAATGTCCACAGCCAAACCTTGCGCACCAAGCCCACAATTTTCTTGCGATTCAACATGAAGACGAAAAATTTCACAATCGACAGGAGGGCTTGCCAAAATGGCGAAAGAGCCGAAACCGCCTTACCCAAATCGATTTTCAAATAATTAAAGGCATAAATGCCCATGGGTCCCAGTACCGCAATAATGCTCACCAAAGGTATGAACGTTAGCCATGGTCGGAAAATTGTTCTCCTTATCGAAGTGGGATCCAGACCAACGGCTGCAAAGCTAATTTTTTGTATTAGAAAAAATTTCTTTATCGACGTTTGCGGCTGCAGGGCATCCGGTGCCTTCGGAACGTTAAACATTTTTGAAATAACTTCCTTGATATCCTGTTAAATCCTGTTCCTCCAAGATAGTGTTTTGCGTTTATATAACTTATTTCCTCTTATTTGCCTCAACGTCGCTAATTGGAAATTAAAGGGTACGTTTGGACACTTGATAAAATTGCAGGTTTGCATTTTGATTGATTTATGACGACTTCCGGCATTCAGTGACACTGTCATTAAATTTCTGAACTGTTTCTTTTTTTTAAATTTTGAATAATGCACTCTTTTCACAACATGTCAGGAACAATAATTGTATTGAAATAGAAGAAATATTGATTTCTTTGAAATTTTAAATTCTTTTGGAATTAAGGAAATAACCATTTTAAATAGCATCAAGGGCTGTTCCAAATATTACATACTTACCATATTACCAAGCAAAGAATATTAGCCAACACAACATTTTCACTATCTAAAAAAATGCAATTTTCTTCAAATTTTTGCACACCCAAATATTTTTTTCTATGTTAGAGTAAATGTGAAAATGACGATAATGGACAATATTTGCTTCTGGTACCTTCCCCAAATGTTAAAAAAATGAATTGAAGAAAGTTGAACATTAGAACTTTCTTTTATTAGATCTAGTGGAAAGTTGGGATATACGTGTGCAGGTAGGTACACATATATAATTGACTTGCTGAACCCTGTGTGTCTGTGGAAACGGAAATCTTTAGAAGTTGAGTCGCATTTTTCTAGCAATCAGAGAATTCGAGGTAGCAACATATTTCCCCGTAATAATCGTATCCCCAATTAATTTGTTTTGTATTTTTTTTACTGTTAGCCTTAATAAAATCATAACCCAATCTGAACCGATTTCAATATAATTTGACAAAAAATTATTTTTACACCAAATTCCGTCACACCTTCCATATTTCATTGAATTTGGTGCATCAAATGTGTGAAATCGGCCGAGAAAATATATATGGGAGCTATATCCAAATCTGAACCGATTTCAATATAATTTGAAAAAATTTATTTTCTGATCAAAATCCCGTCACATATTGCAAATTTCATTAGAGTCGAACATACATATCGTGTTAGGGTCATCAATAAACGAAATCTGGGGAAAATATATTATGGCTATATTCAAATCTGTACCGATTTCAATATAATTGATTTTAATTTTCCTAAACAGATTTGTTTTTGAAATATACTACAACATTGTCTGAAAGTAAAAAAGCCCATATACATTTTTATACCCTACATAGTATGGAGGGTCAATTAAATTCGTCCTTCTGTTTGTAACTCGTCGAAATAATAATTTTAGACCCAACAAAGTATACATATTTCTGATCAGCGTAAGACCTAATTAAAATAGGAAGCTAAACCTTTTTTCAGATCAGTCTTTTGTCTGCAGGCAGGTCAAATTCGGAGATAGGCTATATGGGTCTACGATATCGTATAGCCACCATATAACGGTACCCGCGATATTATTTTGATGATTATAGCCAAATTTTTTAATGGGAATCCACACAGGGAGTTCCTTTTGGGTACTTTACCCCCTGTAAGAGTATTCTCTATATGGGTCCACGATATCGTATAGCCTCCATATAACGGTACCTCCCTAAATTCAGTATTTTGATGATTTAAGCGACATTATACACCGGAATTGTTTCAAATTTCGCATTTGGAGTTCCAAATGGGTACTAAAGCCTGTTACAAAAAATTGTCTGTGCAGGTACAGTACCCATATGATAGTATCTCCCGATATTCGATATTTTAATGATTTTAGCTACAGTAATCACCGGATTTTCTTTAAGTTTCATGTTTGAATATTGTTGACCAGGTCTTCGTATAGAACCCAATATAATGGCGACTTTTTATATTCGGTATTTTTATAGCCTCCACCTTGGAGAGGAGGGTATATTAACTTTGTCATTCCGTTTGTAACATCCTTAAATATTCGTCGTAGACTCCATAAAGCATATATATTCATAATTAGCATAAAATTCTAAGTCGATTTAACGATATCCGTCTGTCTGTTGAAATCACGATACAGCCCACAAAATTTAGCAGAGCAATTTGTATTGTGTCTAGGATGGTTGGTATTGAAAATGAGATATATCGGTCCACGTAACGGTACCTCCCGATATTCGGTATTTTGATGATTTATGCCACAATTTTTCTCGAATTTGTCTAAAAATTGGCATTTGTTGGTCTTAATGGGTTCCAGCTCCGGTGGCGAAACAAAGCATGTATGGGTCCAGGATTGGGTATAGCCCCCATATAACGGCACCTCCCGATATTCGGTATTGGGTTATTGCCACATTTTTCACGGATTTCTCTGAAAATTGGTATTTGTAAATCATAATGGGTCCTAGTTCGTGTGGCGAAACATTGTATGTATAGGTCCACGTTTTGGTATAGTCCCCATATAACGGTACCTCCCCATATTCGGTATTTTGATGATTTATGCCACAATTTTTACGGATTTGTCTGAAAATTTTTATTTGTAGGTCATAACGGGTCCTAGTTCGTGTGGCGAGACATTGCATGTATAGGTCCACGCTTTGGTATAGCCCCCATATAAAGGTACCTCCCGATATTCGGTATTTTGATTATTTTGCAACATTTTTTCACAGATTTGTCTGAAAATTGGTATTTATAGGTCATAATGGGTTCTAGCTCCTTTGACGAAACATTGCATTTATAGGTCTCCGATTTGGTATAGCCCCCATATAACGGTACCTCCCGATATTCGGTATTTTAATGGTTTTTGCCACATTTCTTCGCGGATTTGTCTAGAAATTGGTATTTGTTGGTCTTAATGGGATCTAGCTCTTTTGGCGAAACACTGTATGTATAGGTCCACGTTTTTGTATAGCCCCATATAGCCGAATTTCCCGATATTCGGTATTTTGATGACTTTTGGCACATTTTTCCATGAATACGTCTAAAAATTGGTATATAGGCTCTAATGTTTCCTTTACCCTAAAGTGGAGGGTATTAAAAGTTTGGCATGGACGAACTTAATTTTCTTTTACTTGTTAAAATTTTAAAAGAATTTTTAATGAAATTTATTTTTACCCTACACCACATAGTGGTAAGGGTATTATGTCTTTGTGTATTCGTTTGTAACATGGAGAAGGATGCGAGATAGACCCATAGTTACTTTTGAGGATCTTCATAGAATCACTTTATGAGTCGACTTATGTATGTCAGTCTGTCTGTCCGTCCGTCAGTCGAGGTCGCATTTATTATCCGATTGAAATTGGTTAGAATCAGTTCAACTTTAGATATAGCTCCATATATATCTTCAACCGATTTCGGCCAATATCACGAAATTACCAATATCAGTCCAAATGACCGAAGCAAGTAGCAAGTACATAAAATTTGATGAAAGTCAATTAAAATATAGCTATAGATCCCATATACATGTTTTATATTCGACAACAATGATATTTGGAACCAGATATCAGATGCAGCCCAGAAATACCTCTGCAAATTTGATCAAGATCGGTTTAGATTTGGATATAACTCCCATATATATCATTAACCGATTTCGGGTTAATTGTGCACCAAATAGACAATATCAGTCCAAAAATTCTGAATTTTGGTTCATCTAACCGAATTCAGTCTAGAAGCACCGATTTGGTGTTTAAGTCCCACATATTCGTAATAAGCACCCCACCAGAATGATGTTTGGTATCAGATATGAAATACAGCCCAGAAATACCTCCGCCAAATTCTATTAAGATCGGTCCAGATTAGGATATAGGTTCCATATATATCTTCAACTGATTTCGGGTTAATTGTGCACCAAATGACCAATATCAGGTCAAATGACCAGAATATTGCACATCCGCCCGAATTCTAGTCTAGAAGCTAGTACATCAAATTTGGTAAAAATCAGTTCAGATATAGCTATAGCTCCCATATATTTGTTTCAGTTCCTCACATTCGTAATATGCATTCGACAAAAATGATATTTGGTACAAGAAATCTTATGGAGCTTAAAATGACCTTTACCAAATTCTATCGAGTTCGGCTAAGGTTTGGATATAGCTCCCATATATATATATATATATATGATCCGATTTCAGGTTTATTGTGCAAATAATAGCTAATATGAGCCCAAACGGAGTGAATTTCGGGACGCACGTTTCCGATATATTTTTATATCCTCCACCATAATATGGAGGTTATATTAAGTTTGTCATTCCGTTTGTAACACCTCGAAATATACATTTTAGACCCCACAAAGTATATATATTCTTGATCAGCATGAAATTCTATGTCGATTTATCAATGTCCGTCCGTCTGTCCGTCTATTAGTCTGTCCGTCTATCCGTCTGTCCGTCTGTGGAAATCACTCTAGCATCCGAACGAAATAAAGTAGGTTGATAAAATTTTACTCAAATGTGTATTATGTCTACAGGACTTTTGGTATTGAAAATAGGCCATGTAGGTCCACGTCTTCGTATAGCCCCCATATAACGGTACCTCCGGAATTGTTTCAAATTTGGTATTTGAAGTGTGTAATAGATACTACAGCCTATGACAGAAAATTGTATCGTATAGCCCCCATATAAGTGTACCCACCGATATTCGGTATTTTGATGATTTTAGCGACATTATTTACGGAACTTTTTTCAAATTTGGTATTTGAATTTCATAATGAATACTACAGCCTATGACAGAAAATTGTCTGTGCAGGTCTACGTCTTCGTATAGCCCCCATATAACGGAACCCCGATATTCGGTATTTTGATGATTTTAGCGACAGTATCTACCAGAATTATTTCGAATTTTGTATTTGAAGTTCGTAATGGACGCTACAGCCTATGACAGAAAACTGTCTGTGCAGGTCCACGTTTTATAACCACCATGGTACCTCCCAATATTCGGTATTTTGATGATTTTAGCTACATTATAAACATATTTTTTTCAAGTTTCGCATTTGAATATTGTAATAGCTTGTAACAAAAGTTGCCTATGCAGGTCCACGTCGTCGTATAGACCCTAAAATACGTCTACATTCGGTATTTTTAAGATTTTAACAGAATTTTAACGGATTTTATTTATTTTTTTTTTTTTTTTGAAAATTGTTAAATTTGTACCAATTGGTGGAGGGTATTCAAAGTTCGGCCCGGCCGAACTTACAGCCTTTCTACTTGTTTTAATATAATCCTTCTTGAAGTGATATTAAGCACTCTATAGCAATGTTATTTGATATAAAAGATTAAAATGACTCCATTAAATTTAGTGAAAATCGATTCAGAATTGAATATGCCTGCCACATATTAGTTCCCTCTGAAGCCAAACTATAACTGCTCTAAAGCTAAAGGTTGATAGGTGATGTGTTCTACTTCAAATAAATTCATTTGTTACGGGTGCTCTACTAAATATGCATAGTGGTGTAGGATATCATATAGTCGGCCCGGCTCGACTTTTGACATTTCCTTACTGGTTTTAATTTCGTAAGGCCAAAAGATGTCCATGACTGGATCTAAAACTTGTAGTATTTGGGTCAAACCTAGGTAAATGTATGATCACTTTTTCTGGTAAGAATTATAAATTTTACATAAATTGAATTAGTTAAGCCAGACCTAAGCAATCAATTCAATAAAAAGTTTTCAAAATCTGAAATTTCAAAAGTTTGATGACTTATTAGCCCAGAATGTCTATCGTGTTTATTCGAGATTTTTTAAACAGTTGTTAGAAATTGAATAAAAGGGTGCATGTGGTGCGCAGTTCTGTATTTATTTATCCTGCATTGACATCAACATGGTCATAAATGAAGCAGCAGTTCTATAGACCTACAAACGTTAAATAAAGTTAATTAATTATTATCGTTTAATCATCTATCCTTAGCTCTTATACGAACCCAAACGAACAGACTTAGATCTGCTGTGAAAAATATGCCTCTTATATCGCAGGGTTTCTGGGCCCTGATCATCGTTATCATGAGCAGCTTTTGGGATTTAATGCTCAAGTCGTGCCAATGGAAATACTCGTAGATGGCCAGATTGACCGAGGTGCTCTGAAATAGACATTAATTTTTATTAATTTAAAAATAAGATAAGAATTGCAACTCACCATATCCTGAATTTTCTGCCCACCATGACAGTACAACATCAGCTGCGTGGTGACGGCAATCAAAAACGACAGATTAAACGACTGATCGGCAAACTCCCCACCCAAGGGGATTATAAACGACAAACATGCCAATTGCATGCAGCTAACCAGAAATTTGATGAAAACCAAACCCTGATACACCTCACTGAAACGTTCCGACATTTGAATGATGCGTCGATGATAGTTGACACATTCCACAACAGATTTAAGAAATTCCTTTTCATTGTGGTTTCCCGCCGCCTGGTGGGCAATAATTTTCTCCGACAACTGGCGATAGCGTAAATTTAAAATCCGAAATTGTGCTGCAATATTGTGTACAATCCAGGAGTAGAGGGTGTCAATGGATAGGGCGCCATTGAGAATGTAATGGATGCCCAAAACATTCCAGGTATAGCAAAGAATATATCCCATATATGAAGCTCGTATATCGTAGAAGTATCTGAAAGAAAAAATGGGTATGAATAAAATCTTTAGAACTTGAAATGACTTCAGATTTTTATTTGAAGATTTCAGTTATTAAGGTTCCCGTCCAAAACATAAAAGGTCAGACAGAGAATCACTAATTTTGGAGGGGTTCTAGTTATGTATGTGTGTGTGTGTGGAGCAGGGATTTAAAATTCAATACAATGCTCAAGCAGAGCACAGTTCTGCTCATTTTTACTCAGGAGCAAAACTTACTCGCGAGCAGAACTGCTTGAAGAGTGGTAGTTTTTTTACGGAGTGCGCTCTCTACTCTTTTGTTTCGTGTGGGAGAACTCCCAAATCACTCAGGTTTGAAAAATTAGAGTGAGGACAGAATCGCTCGAAGTAGAGCAATAGTTTAATCTAAGAGCGTAAATGGAAGAAGGGGTGATATTCTACAAAGAAAATACACATACATAGAAATACAACAACGGTATGTCAAAAACCAAACGAGTGCTTGGCAAGAGTAAAATCGGCTCGATTTTAAACGAACTGTGCTTCCACTCAAAAACAAGGAAAATAGGCTCAATCCTGTGAAAAATTAAGTTTGCTCGATTTTTGTCTGCTCCCACTAGAATCTGAGTGAGTTTCAATTTCTGTACAAATTCGAACGAGTTTTGCGGAGATCTGATTTTAAGTACTTTTTCATTCAAAAAGTACAAAAGTGGCCCCAGAAGCAATTAAGCTTCGTTTTTCTTGCGATTTTAATAATTTTAGATACAAATATTCCGAGGTTGGGGAATCCTTTCTCAGGACTTCTGTAGGCGCAATACCTTCTGGAGGTCTCATAGATACTAATCTTTCAAAGGTGCAATGAAAGGATAGTAATTTTTTGGAGTAAAATACCTAGAAGTATCCCAGAGGCATAAGACCTTCCAAAGAACTTCTTCAATTAAAAGATAATTCAAAGTCCAGAGATGATCTCTATAAGTCCTTCTAAAGCTGTTCTATAGATGGAAACACTTCCTTTACAGGTGAGGATCTTTCCAGATAGACAGACAGATTTTCTATGGATGGTCAATGACAAATCTTTTTCATATAGAAGACCCAAAGAAGGATTCCTGTATATAGAAGCGCTTCCTGATGTATTTTATTGATAGAGAAGAAACAAGTAAAAAAGTTGTTTGAATACCCTCCACCATTTGGAACGAAAGTGGCATTTTTCAAAAAATTAAATCCGTTAAAAATTCAGTTAAAATCTTAAAAATACCGAATGTAACCGTTAAATTAGGGTCTATACGACGACGTGGGCCTATTTTTGTTATAAGCCAATACAATATTAAAATGCGGAACTTGAAAAAAAAAGGTGAATAATGTAGCTAAAATCATCGAATATAGGGAGGTACCGTTATATGGGGGTTATACGAAGACGTGGACTTGCACGGACAATTTTCAGTTATAAGCTGTAGTACCCATTGCGAACTATTATTACGAAATTTGAATCAATTCCGGTAAACAATGTCGCTAAAATTATCAAAATACCAAATATCGGGAGGTACCGTGATATGAGGGCTATACGAAGACGTGGACCTAAAGAAACAATTTTCTGTCATAGCCTGTAGTATCTGTTACGAACTTCAAATACCAAATTTGAAACATTTCCGGTGAATAATGTCGCTAAAATCATTAAAATACCGAATATCGGGAGATACCGTTTTATGGGGGCTATACGAAGACGTGAACCTGCATAGCCAACTTTCAATAACAAAAGTCCTGCATACGAAACACATATTTGAGTAAAATTTTATCAACCTACTTCAATTCGTTCGGAAGCTAGAGTGATTTACACAGACGGGCAGACAGACGGTCGGTCCTCGTTAAATCGTATTTTAATGCATATTTCGAGGTCCATACTACCCTCCATATTATGGTGGAGGGTATAAAAAGTATCACTAAAACCCAAAAATTAATTTTTATAGTTTTCCATTCCTGATGGAGAAGCCTAGTTCCCTGAGAGCACTTATGAGGACATCTGTTCGAAGTTATTATACCTCCAACCATATGGCTACAGAGGGTATATATCATTTGATACGGTCAAAACGTGCCTCATCGAAATAAAGGTTTTAGACCCTAGGTCTCTTTGAGTCGATCTAGCGATATCCGTCCGTCCGTCTGTCTGTCTAGATGGTGCGCACGATAACTCTCGAAGGACGTTTCCAAATAGGTCCTAACTTGGTACATCGTAATATTATTATCAAACTTAGATCGAGTTCGGAGATGGGAATTAACGGTTCTCTTCTTCTGCTACCTTTCTACAAGAGATCGAAATTTTCAAACAACAAATATTTTACTGCACAGAAAGAAAAAGGATATTCCGATTTTACTTGAACATGTCGAATCGTGTGCTAGGTCTGGTACGAAAACGGATAAAAGCGGTCCACTCCTTCCGGTATCTTCCCCACAAAGGTTCAAAAGAATTTTGGATAATTACAATTACTCTTATAAAATCCTGTATAAGAGTCCGATTGTCTTCATATTTCACACATCCCATTAATTCTACCAACACAAGATCTGCTGTGAAGATGGAAAATATCGGTCTTCTCCTTCTGGTACCTCTCCCACAAAAGGTCAAAAATGTAAATATCCACGAAGTTCATAAAACACGAAATTAATATTCGATTCCATTCAAACTTGTTACATCTCAATATTTCCATCTACACAAGATCTGTTGTAAATATGGTATAGATCAGAACATTTCTTCTGGTACCTCCCCCACATAGGTTTTAAGATTTTGAAAAAATACGCGAAAAAAGCGAAGTTAGCATGCAACTCTCTTCTCCTCTACCATTTAATGGAGGGAATATTAACTTTGTCATTCCGTTTGCATGCAGGTCCACGTCTTCGTATAGCTCCCATCTGACGGTACCTGCTAATATCGGTATTTTTATGTTTGTGCGACATCATTCCCCGGAATTGTAACAAATTGTATTGTACTACAGCCTATGACAAAAAAAATTGTATGTAGGTTCACGTTTTCGTATATCCCCCATATAACTGTACATCGTGATATTCAATATTTTGATGATTTTAGCGACCTTATTCAGCGGAATTGTTTCAAATTTGGTCTTCGTATAGTTTCCATATAACAGTTTTCACTTAAGTGGTAGTTTCCGGAAGTTTTTTTTTTAAATTTTCAAGCTCCTTCCAAATGATGCAGAGTATATAAAGTTCCTCCGCCGAACTTAGCTGATTTTTTACTTGTTAAATGATTAAATACTATCTTAAAAACACTTACTCCGCCTTAAATGGGGCATCCAATGTCTCCATAAAACCACGACCATGAAAAGTGTAAATTGCCGATATGGCCAATGGAGCCAGGGCTGCCAGGACTCCGGTGATATTTACCATTGAATAATAAAACAAGGATATCCTGGCATCGCCTTTGATTTCTTCATCAATAATTTTGAGCTCCTCTTCGGTGGCTATAAGAAACAAATTTAAAAAAATCTCAACTTCCTCCCGCTTCCCCTCTGTGTCATACATTACCTTCCAATGTCCATGACCACACCTTACGCACCAATCCCACAATTTTCTTTCGATTCAACATAAAGACAAAAAACTTAATCGTCGACAACATGGACTGCCAAAAGGGCGAGAGAGCCGTTATAGCCTTACCCAAATCAATTTTCAAATAATTAAAGGCATACACGCCCATGGGTCCCAATAGGCCCATAAGACTCAGCAGCGGTATAAAGGTTAGCCACGGTCGATACATAGTACGCTTCAACGATGTTGGATCCAAACCAATGACCGAAAAACAAATTCTCTGAATGAGAAAGAAATTCTTGAGAGAATTTTGCGGCGGCAAAGCATCCGGTGGGTTAGGAACGCTGAACATTTTCGTTGTAACTTCTTTGAAAATTGGTGCAAACGTTTTGTAGCACCGGTCAGGCTGTTTGTATTTATATACACATTAGTAGATTATTTTTATTAAAAGCTTGGGAAATGGCAGTGGTAGACATTTAGTTAAATTGCAGGTTTGTCCAGACAGTGATAGTAATAGTAATTTTCAATTACAATTACAAATCGATATTTTTTTTCAAATTATACATATGTCATCTGTAAACAAATACATATGTTGTCCTTGTTTGTACCTATGACAAATACATATACAAATTAGCAATAGACATTGCCGATCATATGACCATAAAAGTCTGGCTTTATCAATCAATCAATAATAATTTTAATTTAATTTTTTTTTTTTTTTTTTTTTTTTTTTTGCAACCATTGTTATATTTCTATATGTGTATTTTTTCTGTACAAGATCATACCTCCTCTCTTGCTCTATTTTGAGCGATTCTGCTCCCACTCAATTTTTTCAAACAGGAGTGACATGGGAGTGCTCCTACACAGAACAAAAGAGTGAAGAATAGACTCCGTAAAGAACTCCACCTGACGAAAATGTCTATAACCATAATGGAAAAATACAACACCAAGGTTTGGAAATTTATACTTTGAAGGTACAAAAACCAGTTAGAAAGTTATCAGTGACAATTTTTGGTTTCCCCTTGGATGCACCAGACCCTACATATATCAAATTAGAATGTGCAAAGTTTAAAAAAAAAAACAAGTAAAATAGTATCAGTCGGTTTTTGCTGACAGATGTATACCCCCAGCCTTGTTATGATTATTCAAACTGTTGACCCTTTATGGAGGAGGTTCCCAAGCAGTTGGCCAATATTGACCAATTCCTATCTGACCTTAGTCTGATGTAAATATTATAATATGCCATATTTCGACTATATCGACTACTTCCTATATTTTATATCAGGTATGTGCACATTTTTGGTAAATGTGGAGATATGCGTGAGGTAACAAATATAACCGACCGAAGTATTCCATTTTCGTACTTCATCTAATAGAGATAAAAATCTTGGCATGGGCAATAAGCAAAAATATTAGAATGTGTGAAATCTGAAGGGAGTGGGATTTTTATTTAACTTCTTTGATCGCCTTGTTTTTAAAAATTGTGAACCCTTTGTGAGGGAGGTACCAGAAGAAATGGTCTGATCTCTGAAGTGGATTGATATATCTCATCTTTTCACCAGACCTTGGGTTAAAAAATATATTGTGATGTGTGTCAATTGAAGATTGAATCGGATACTGAAAATGTGGTGTCATAAAAGTTATAATTGTAACCTCAGCCATATGGCTATATATCATTTGATACGGCCAAAACGTGCCTAGTCGAAATAACGGTTTTAGACCCTAGGTTTCTTTGGACCAAATCCGTTTCAGAACACTTGGAGTCGATTTAGGGTTGTCCGTCCGACCTGTCTGTCTGGCTGACTGGTGCGCACGATTACTCTCGAAGAGAGTATCCGATTTGGTCCAAACTGGGTACATCGTAATATTCTTTATCGAACTTAGATCGAGTTCGGAGATGGACAATATCCGTCCACTCCTTCTGGTACCTCCCCCACAAAAGGTCGAAATTTTCAAAAATTATATTTGAAATATATATTATATATTTATATATACTATATATGCAGAGAAAGAGAAAGGATAATACGATTTTGCTCAAACTTTGTTAATCCTAATATTTGCGACAGTGCTAGGAAATATCGGTCCACTTCCTCAAGTACCTCCCCCAAAAAGGGTCAAAATTTTGAATAATTATAAGTCTTATAAAATGTGATGTAAGAATCCGATTGTCTTATAATTTATGGTAAAGTATGGTGTGTGTAATACCTATATTTTCATAAACCCAAGATCTGCTACCTCCCCCACAAAAGGTCGAATTTTTGAATATCCATTAGCTCATAAAACGCGAAATTAATATCAGATTCCATTTAGATTTGGCACATCTGAATATTTCTATAAACACAGGATCTGTTAAAAAAAAACGGTACAGATCGGACCATACCTTTTGGTACCTCCCACACAAAGGGTCAAAGTTTTAAATAACCAAAAAATAAGCATCAAGTTCTCTTTATATTTCACACATCCCATTATTTTCACTAACAAAAGATTCATAGTGAAGATGGGATATATCGGTCCACTCCTTTTGCTACCTCTCCCACAAAGGCTCATAATTTTGCATATCCATGAAGCTCATAAAAAGCGAAATTGACATCCGATTCCATTCAAGACATCTCAATATTTCCGTTAACACAACACAGCCCAAACCTAGGGCATCGCAATATTTATATCATATTTATTTAGGTCCAATACGAAATGGCCAATATTGGCCCATATCTTCGGAACCTACTGCATAAGGGTTTAAACATTTTAATAATCATAACAGAAGTCAAAATATTTTTAAATAATCGAAAATTGGCTGAGAGTATACATCTGTCGGCAAAATCGACCGATACTTTTTTACTTGTTATTTAAAATGTTGACCTTTGTGGGGAAGGTACTTGGTGAAGTGGACCGATATTGCCCATGTGTCGCACCTGACCTAGCACTGATTTTAGGATTTGCAAAGTTGGAGCAAAATCGGATTATAAAAAGATTGGTTGAATTTTTGACAAAAATAATTTACGTGTTATTGTCAGTAATATTGCCAACGACATTATATTCCTAAAATGAAATAGACTCCAAGGAATCTCAATTTAAAAATACCAAAAAATTTAAAAATCGAAACTCTGATATATGTTGCCACTTTTTATAACCTCCACCATACTATGGAGGGAATATTAGCATGGCCATTCCGTTTGAATCTCCACGAAATAAGCAATTTATACCCAACTAGGTACTATTTACTGTCCGTGTTTCTGTGGAAATCATTTTAGCTTCCGAAAGTAGTGACTTTTACTCAGATGTATATTAGGTACGTAGAATGATTTTAAATGGGACATTTAGGCCCACAATGATTTTAGCCAATATAATTATATGAAAGTTAAAGTTCATAGTGGATACTATCTCCTCCCAATGTTTGGTATTTCGATGATTTTAGTAAAATTTTCATACAATTTTCTTTTTTTGAAATTTTATATCGCATTTTTCAAATAACATATGCAACTCAAATACTAGTCACTTATAAATATATTTTAACTTGGTGTGAGTTTGGTTGAAACATAACGATGTATCCAATATAGACCTAATCGCATACTCTCTTCGAGGGTTATCGGGCGGAAGGATAGACGAACATAACAAACTCGAATCCGAATATCCTGGAATGGATGTCTTCCAATGAGACACGATTTCTAAAACCGTTAATTCGATACCACATTTTTGTCGTATTTTGCATTTTGTAGTCTACCTTATTAATTTTACACATTGTGTGATATTAAATTTTAATTTTTTCTCAACTTCAATAAATGACGAATGCAATACTTAAGCAGTGACATATGCCACATATCAGTTCGGTTGTATTCAATGCACTGACTACTGGAAAATGGTTATTTAGTATTTTTTTAAACCTAACAACTCCTTTAATCATTTCCGTCATAAAAAATTCAGGAATGCTTTGACCCTCTTCAAAACGCTTATAATCCACATTTATAGGCATCATATTTCGACCATAAAATTTTTATATTTCTATCCGTTCATTTCTCACTAAAATTCGTTGTTGAAAAATGTAAATAAATGGAAAACAGGGTAGGCTTTTTTGTTTGAGATACCGTATGTATTTTCTTGTTGGAAAATTGTAAGGCGAAACTCAGAAAATATCCTACTAGACCCTCATTACCGTGAACCCACCTGTATTCCCTAACTGGTAATTCGAAAATCAATCATCTACCATGGAAGTGGATATACACATGTAAAATATATGTTTGTCTCTTCCACTTCAATAAAATATTTATTTTCTGATTATTTCCACACATTGTTCTGCAATGACCAATGAACTCTCAATCAGTTATTGCTCCACTGAAGGCTATGTCAATAAAGTATCATTAAGGATAGGAAGACGACGATAGCGAACATGTGTATTTTAAAACATCCATTTTAATAACTATAATGAACTTATTGTCTTTTTTGTTGTTGTTGTTATTGTGACAATACATTGTTAAGCCATTTTACAAGAAAACCGTTTCAGTTGCTTTTATATGTGAATATGAAAATTAAACAGCTGTTGAAATCTTTAATTAAATTTCTAGGATATATTTTTCTGTAAGTTCCATTCTGTTTTGATGGAACTTGAAAAATTTCAAAAAAAAATCCCCTTGAAAAAAACGCTCAAAGGAAAACCGTTATATGAGGCCTATAGGAAGACGTGGTTTGTCATAGGCTGTAGTACCCATTAAGAACCTAAAATCCGAAATTTGAAAAAAAAATGCAGGTAAAAAATGTCACTTATATCATCAAACTGGAAACAATTCCGGTGTATAATGCCGCTAATATCATCAAAATACCAAATAAAGGAAGGTGAAGTTATGTGTGGGCTATATGAAGACATGGACCTACATAGACAATTTTCTGTCATATGTTATAGTGCGTATTATGGGTTTTAAATACGAAATTTTAAATAATTCCGGTGAATAATGTCTTAAAATCATTAAAATGCCGAATATATGGAGGTATCGTAATATGGGGGCTTTACGAAGACCATGACCTGCAAAGTCAATTTTTTGTCTTCGGCTGTAGTATCCATTACGAATTTTATATAAAAAATTTGAAATAATTCCTGTAAAAATTGTATTTAAAATCATCAAAATAGCGAATATTGGTGGTACCGTTGTTTGGGGGCTATTCGATATCGTGTACCCATGGTGAAGTACTCAAAATCAACTTCTTGTGTGGATTTTCGGACAATTCCATTGAAAAATGTGGTTAAAATCATCAAAATACAGAATATCAATGGGGGGTACCGTTATATAAGGGTATACGATATGGTGGACCGAACTTGATCCATTATCGAACTTGACCTGCTTCGAACTTGCCCATCTTTGAAATTGACCAGCCTGCAAACAAAAGACTGATCTGTGCAAAAGTTTAGATTCCTATCTTAATTCGTTTTGATTCTAGCGTGATTACGGCGGACGAATGTTCGGACGGGTCTAAATCGTCTTAGAATTTTAGGTGATAAAAAGTTTAGGTTTTGTTAGGTGAAAAATTAGTATTTCGATGAGTTACAAACGGAATGACGAACTTAATATACCCTTCTGACTATGTATGGTGGAAGGTATAAAAACAGTTACGTCCATGTAAAACTCAATATTTTTGGTTTTAATCGACCTATTTTATTCACTGTTTTACATGACCCCTTCATTTGGACTAAGATTCATCTAACTCTAGTATCATTCTGTTGTCGAATATTTCATAGCTATATCTTTCATATAAATTATACATCTCATATGCATAATGTTCACTCCACAACAATGATATTTGGTACCAGATGTCAGATATAGCCCAGCAATACCTGTTTCAAATTTTATCAAGATCGGTTCAGAATTGTATACCAAATGGTTAATATCAGCCCAAAGGAATGAATTTTGGCACTCCCGACCGAATTCAGTCTAGAAGCAAGTACTTCAAATTTGGTGTTTCGTCCGATTTGGATGAATCACATTCGTAATATGCAATCTATAACAATGATTTTTGGTATCAGATATCTCACAGGGCTCAGAAATACCTTTGCAAAATTTTATCGAGATCGGTACAGATTTGGATATAGCTTCCATATATATCTCCATGCGATGAACTATTGGTTAGATTTTCCACATTCAACTGAATTTTTCCATTTGGAGAACCTCGGAGAATCTCCATTTGAAGAATCTTGAAAGCATGCACTCAATAGCAAAAATTTTTTGGTATGAGAGGTACAAATGCCTCCGTCAAATTTGGTGGAAATCGGTTCAGAGCTTGATATCCGTTCTTATGTTAGTTCCTTCTGATTACAAAATTTTAGAATCTAAAATTTAGTACATCCCATTATTTATATTAAATCTACTGGTTAAACCCCCACAAAGGGTAAATATTTTAATTATCCATGAAGTTCATAAAACGCGAAATTAACATCCGATTTCATTTACATCTTGGCACATCTCAATATTTCTATCAGCACAAGATCTGTTATAAAGATGGTGGAGATCGGATCGTTCCTTCTTGAACCTACCCCACAAAGCGTAAAAATTACGAATAACAAAAACGGCACTAAAATCCAAAATAAACATCCGATTCTCTGCAAATTTCACACATCCCATTATTTCTACAAACAAAAGATGTGCTGTGAAGATGGGATACATCGGTGCATTACTTCTGGTACCTTCTCCACAAAGAGTTACAAATTTTGGAAAACGAAACGCTCATAGAACGCGATGTAAGCATTCAACTCTCTCAATTTTTACACATCCAAGCATTTTTGCTAACACAAGATCTGTTGTGAAGATGATAATTTATATCTGCCAGTCCCTTCTGGTACTTCACCCACAAAATGTCACAATTTTTAGCGATTCTTTACAACTTACTATATCTAAATATTTTTCTCAACCAGAAACCCGATATGGACATGGAATTTATGATTCCGCATAAAACTGGATATAAATGTTTGATTCTCTTATAATTTTGCCCATACCAAACTACCTTCCGAAAATCTTGGAATAAGGGTCAAGGAATTTTCTGATAAAAAAAGGCAAAGCTTATGAACTTTTAAGGCCACCATACATTGTTAAGGGCTTTCTGGCAAAAAAAAATGTAAGTTTCATTCAATTAAAGAACTTTCTTAAAAAAATAACCTTTTTTTAAACGTTTTAAGGACTCCCACCATCTGATCAAAATTTATGGATTTTCAAAAATATTTAAAATTGTCCTTGCAAAACTTATATATAAATAATTCGAATCATACCGTGTGGCCTCATATGGTAAGTAAAAATATTAATACTTTTTAAATGACCCTTGGCTGTCGGCAAATCGCCGGTCCGTTTGGATTAAACCGTTGAAATTTGTTTAATACGGTATCGGTAAAATTCTGAAGGTTTTATTCTATAAACGAAGCGGCATAAATAATAAATATTTAATTTACTGCGGACATTTATGGCAGTATCACCTTCTGTTCTATGTTTTTGGACATCAACAATAACATTGGTAGTTAAAACACCAATGACATATTTAAACATCCACAGCAACCACAACACTTTACCCCCAACAGCATAACCCCAACACACATGGAGATACTTAATAGAATTATTATATCTTGCCCTACCCCCCCCCCTTCCCACTTTTGGATTATTAAATTATATATTTTAAACTTTTTATTATACGGTCTAATGGTAATTCTTTAATAACCCATCATTAATTCATTCATAAACGACGATGAACGAACCGAACATTAACAATTCAGGGCAGGGAGAGCACGCGACAAATAAACAATAATTTCATTTTCAATGGGGCAAAAGAATTTAACATCAAACATGTTCGATGGAACATGTTTGAAGCAAACGTGTATAAGTTGGATAGCCCACAACTATGGCCGATAGTTGTTGGCCGTCAATCCGTTATCAGAATTCAGTTTGTATTCAAACTTGAGCAATAACGGTTGGATTTGGCGGTGGCAACGGTGGTTGATTTGCTCCAACGACGGCAATCGCGTCCCACGAATTGGTTTTGTTTTATGTTTTTCTTTATTTTTTCGTTTCAAAATTTCTTTTGCATAAAAATTTTAAATACAAAGTGGAAGTGACTGCAGCTAAAAGTCAAACGAAAGGAAAGGAAAAAAATTGAAAAAAAAAAACAAACGACTAGACCCAAACAAATTGTGTCGCATGCCAAGTAAGGGAACCAACCAAACACAAAACGACAAAAGTTCCCCCCAACAAAACGGAAATTAATAACCGCCGAATATGACCAACGGAGAACAGCAACACCAATCAAAGTGAAAGAAATTTAATTTTAAACAAAAAATTTAAGAAATTACTGGCTATACGTGCCTGACACAAGAAAAATACAAAAACGAAAGAGAAGCAGAAGAGTGGTGCATACAATTGTCTGAATGCGTTTATGAAGCAAAAATATTATAACAACAAGAAAAACAAAACAAATTGTTAAGTGAAATTTAATTTAACATTAGCTAGTGTCCGAAGCGGAAAATCCCAAATAAGGTATTTGTGGTCAATACCCATAGCCACAGTGTGGATAATTTAACCAAAAAAATCGCCTACAAAAGGAATTACAACAGCTGTCAAAGAGAAAGGTGATTTATTTTTTTTAAGTTTACTGACACATTTCTTTTTTTATGAAAAAAAAAAAATCAAAACCCTTTTCAAAAGAATTGTCTTTTTGAAAACCGTTTTTAAGAACAATTGAAGTACAGCAGAGGATTGCCGTTGCATTTTAAAAATTCATTGTGCGTAGGTTCTGTTTCGACGAAAGATGTTGGGTTTGATTGCAACTTTTGACAGATTGTTTTTGTAAAGGGGACAACAATATTTGGATGGAATGATGACAAATCATGTCTGTATGTTGTGGATGGAAAATCGAAAAGTTGATGGTGTTCTATAAATGAGCTTTCAAACCAAAATGAAAATTGAATTTCGGCATTATGGAACTATGATTTGTTACACCTTTCACCATACTAAACATGTTATTTGCATGCCGTTTGCAACACCTCGATATATGCATCATATGTTGTGTTCCGGAGGCTGCACTATATTGTACTGCGCCTTTTCGATACAATTCGAAAATTTTTCTATTTGTAGTTCAATTATTCTAATTGTAATTCTATTTGTAATTCGAATAATTCTATTTTTTCGAATTATTGCATTTGTAATTCGAATTATGCCGATTGTAATTCGAATAGTTCAATTTAAATAACTCGAATTACAAATGGAATAATACGAATTACAAATGGAATAATTCGAATTACAAATGGAATTACAATTAGAATAATTGAACTACAAATTTTCGAATTCCATCGGAAAAATGGAATAATACGAATTATAATGAAATAATTCGAATAATTATAATGAAATAATTCGAATAACAAATGGAATTCTCCAATTACGAATTAAATCAAAAATTATTCGAATTACATCTAAAACAAGTAAGAAGGTATCAGCTGGTTTTGAAGACAGTTGTATACCCTCAGCAAATGCTCGATTATGTAAATATATTTTTATGCCCTCCGCCATTCTATGGAGGGTATATTGTCATTCCGTTTGTAACTCCTAGAAATATCCATAATAGATCCTATAAAGTATATTTATTCTGGATGAGCGTAAAATTCGAAGCGATGTTCGTCTGCCTGTTGCAATCACACTATCTTTCGAACGAATTGATATACAAGGCTTACCAGTAGGCAGGTTAAGTTCGTAAATGGTTCATGTCGGTCCATGTTTTCGTATAGCCCCCATGTAAAGGTACCTACCGATATTCGGTATTTTTATGATTTTAACGACATTATTTACAGGAATTATTTAAATTTTCATATTTAAAGTTCCTTATGGGCTGGATTCTTGTTCTATGAAAATATGAAATGGAAAAATATTTCCTTCATAAAATTTCCTTCCAAATGGTGGAACTTAGCTATTTTTTACTTGTTACTTCTGTTAGGATTATTCAAACTGTTGACCCTCTATAGAGTAGGATCCGGAGAAATAGGCCAATATTGTCCATTTCATATCGGACCTAAATAAATATGATTTAAATATTGCCCACCGAATGGTTCTTTGACCTTTAAATATAGACTACCGAAATATTCCATTTTTATGCTTCATCTAATACAGATAAAAACATTGAAAATCAGAAAATCGAACATTTATATCAAATTTTATGCGAAATCATAAATTCTATATTCAGCTCAGGTTTCTGGTTGAGAGAAATATTTAGATATAGCAAGTTGTAAAAAACCGATGACTTTTTTCGCAAGTTACCACAGAAAAAAGTATTGCAAATCATACCATTTTTGCGTGAGGTACTAGAAGAGGTCCGCAGATATATATCATCTTCACAAGAGATCTGGTGTTAGCAAAAATGTTTGTATGGATGAAATTCGAAAAGAGTTGGGTGCTTATTTCGCTTTCTTTGAGCGTTTCATTTTTCAAAATCTTAAACCCGATGTGGGGGAGGAAACAAAAGAAATGATGTGATCTCTACCATCTTTATAACAGATCTCGTGTTGATGGAAATACTGAGATGTACAAGGTCTGCATGAAAACGGATGTTAATTTCGCGTTTTATGAGCTTCACGGATATTCAAAATTTCGACCCTTTATGGGAGAGGTACCAGAAGGAATGGTCCAATATATTCCATCTTCACAGCAGTAGAAACAATGAAATGTGTGAAATATGAAGAGAACCGGATGTTTATTTCGGATTTTATAATCGTTTTGGTAATTAAAAACTTTGACCCTTTGTGGGGGAGGTACCAGAACGAATGGGTTGATCTCTATCATTTTTATAACAGATCTTGTGTTAATGGAACTATTGAGATGTACCAAGTCTGTATGGAATCGAATGTCAATTTCGCTCTTTTGGAGTTTCTGGAAAATCAAAATCTGGAAAATTTTGACCCATTGTTGGGGATGTACCAGAAGGAGTGGACCGATATATTCCATCTTCACACCAGACCTTGGGTTAATAAAAATATTGTGATATGTGTAATTTAAAGACAATTGGACTCTTACATCACATTTTATAGGAGTTAAAATTATTCAAAATGTTGACCCTTTGTGGGGGAATACTTAATTGAGTGGACCGATAATGTCAATTTTCTCACCCGAGCTAGCGCTGATACAAATATTAGGATTTGCAAAGTTTGAGCTAAATCGGATTATCCTTTCTCTTTCGGTGCAATAAATTTCTTTTTGAAAACTTTAAGATTTTGTGGGGGAGTTGCCAGTAGGAGAAGATCTATATAGCCCATCTCCGAACTCGATAATGATATTGGTAATAATATTACGATTTACCAAATTTGGACCAAATCGGATACTCCCTTCAAGAGCTACCGTGTGCACCAGCCAGGTAGACAAACAGGCATATGGACGGACAGACATCACTATATCGACTCCAAATGTCCTGAAACGGGTTTGGTGCAAAGAGACCTAGGGCTCAAACCCGTTATTTCGATGAGTCACTTTTTGGCCGTATCAAATGATATATTCCCTCTGTAGCCATATAGCTGAGGGTATAACCAGTAAAGAAAAGTCAAAATAGAGCTCCCGTATAAAAACGTTTATTGTGGGAATTTATGTGAAGCAGATCATACCGTAGTTGAATTCGTGTCATGGCTTTAGAGGAGTCACATTTTGGGAACTACATGTACCTACACTACATGTAGATTTTCAACAAATTTGACGAAGGCTTTTGTTCCTCTAGTACCAAATAACATTGCTGTATAGGGCATGATATGACTTCGATAAGTATTATATTAAAAAATATTTATTGGAGCAATAGATATACCGGACCGAGTTGCACCAAATGGTAAAATTCGGTTGAATAAAAAAATCTTTTCAATTAAGGTTGATTTTACCTATATGCTGAACAATAGGAAGGTACATAAAAATCTGAGCCGACCTTGATAAAATTTGGCAGAGGTATTTTCGAGCCGTATCTGATGTCCGTTATCAAATATCATTGTTGTGGAGTGCATATTACGCATGTGAGGGAACTTAACACCAAATCGGATGAAACATATATGGGAGCTATAGCTATATCTGACCAGATTTTCAAAAAAATTAAAGTATTTTTTTTCTACGATGAAATCAGTCGGCTTTGCCAAGATTTAATTCATTTGAGCTGATATTAGCCATTTAGTGCACAATACACCTGATATCGAATAAAGTTATGTATGGGAGTTATATCCAAATCTGATCCGATCTCGACAAAATATATATATAATATCATTCTTGTGGAGTGCATATTACGC